ACTTAAAAGGATAGGGGGAATAGGATTCAGAATATGTGGCATGCTGGGCACAAAAACCGACAAGCTATATTCTATCTGATTTTAGGCTTTAAGGTGGTGCAGCCCATTCCATCAGAAAGAAGGATTAGATATCATATTCTCTGAGCGGGCTCTCAAAACAATCTCGGAGAAAGCAGCCCCTCAGCAATAACCATAAGAAACAGCTGTCGCCCTTACTGTGCATGGGCAGCTTCTGCTCCATTTCTTGTTGCTTAGTACTGATCAGATTCGACCATGGCTAGCACAAAATTATTCTGTATCCCCCTGAGCAATTTGAGGAAGCGGTCCCCAATGGTTAAAAAGTAATTGACTTTTGCAGAACCAGCACTTCATAAATCCAGCTTATTTTAATGTGCTCCTCACAAACCATAATAAGTTTGTAACAAATATTAATGCTGTATGAAACAAACTATACAGAAGGCGGAATGGTTTTGGTCATGTTGCTGGGTCTTCTGCTTTTCAAGAAAGGCAACTGGGAACAGAGCTGGATGTAAAAGGCATCAGAAACTGCTGATGGCTCTACTACTAAAGTGCAAAATTCTAAAATGGCTCAACCACTGACAGGAAAAAATAGATTCTATAATGTACTCTATTTACCTTTTAAGAGAAAGGATACCTCTTCCTCTCTGAGTGCTCCTTCACCCTCCATCTGGATGTATAAAGACAGCATACAGGAAAACACCAGGCTATGTTCGGGATACAGGCTCCTACAAACAAACAAGAAGTGAGTCAAAAGTGTTATGACTGACCTGGAGCTTAGTAGTGGTACAAATGCATGCTTTTTATTTATAAAGGTTAGAATGATCATTCCCATCAAGAGACTTCAAGTACCAAGAACACAACAATTTGAACTGGATGGACTCGCATCACAGTAGCACATCCACCGCACATCACATGTCTCAGAAATTTCATTCGAAATTATTCAAAACCCCATATTATAGTACTATACAGTATATACTTTAATGCCTCAATGGTTTAGAAAATCAAAATGGAAGAATGCAACACGATCTTAGAAAGCGAATTAATTTCTCAGACAAGCAGCAGTGTAAATCTCACCACATTGTGCCACAGGCTTGTATGGAAATACACAATCTTTGAAACCCTTGAAGAAAGCATGCTATTTACTTATTTAAAAGGGTTTTATTAAAATAAACAAAAATCTTCTCCTTGTTTTTTGTCATTTCGGACCTCAGACCAGCTCCTGAGGGAACACCGTCTCTGCCAGTTTTCAACTTCAGTGGTTCTCACCTACAGCACTGTTTCAGTGCTCGGGCCTTGATTCCACACCTAGCCTGGATAAAGTACATTATTTCCAACATCAGCATACAGAGCGTTATCTGTATCTACAGTATCTGACTCTGCATGAAGAATTTGCTCACTAAATTATGAATAAAAAGGTTCTAATTGGTGACCAGTTTATCAAGTACAGCCATAGAAGGGAAGGACAATAAACCACAGCAAGCGAGTGTTTATCCTTCTGCTGAGGTCCCGTTGGTCACTTTTCAGCTACAGTACCCTACATGAATGAGAGCAGCTCTGGAGCTCACTGATTAACACAGGGATCATACCACTTGCATATTCCGATCAGCTTTTTAAGAGCTGAAAGCAAATTTAAAAATAATTCTCAGTTGGAGCAATACTCAATTGGCACTGGGACTCCATGACAGAACAATGATTGAGCACCACTGATTTGGGCAACCAGGGGGAAAAATGCCTACAGTATATAAAGATCAGGTGTGCATACCGACAGTCAGATCCAGAAAAGTATGATATTTATTCCTGTAACCCATGTCTTAATATTTCTGTGGCCTTTCTGTTCAACAAACCGCCCACCCAAGTCTGCAATTAGGCAGATGTGACCCAAGTGTCAAACTGACCTCCATCAGATTTTACTTGCTAATATCCCAGCTAACGAAAAAGTCAAACTGTGACATGACTTTGTAATGCAGAAGCATGCATTCCCTTTCTGCAATAATGCAATGAATGCTAATCAATGTGTTGCCCCCCCAAAAAAAATGTAAGTAACCCCCGACAGCAACAAATCAATGGAAAAATGACATCAGAGCACACAGACTGTAAACATTAAGATGACGAACTGGTTTATCGTCTGGTGGACGGTTTCTGTGAGCTGATCCACAAGCTGTCTGATTTCATTGGTGGACAGGCTCAGGCTGTCAGCTGCAGGTGATGGAGGTTTGTGTTTCCTCGATATGTCGGCTGTGTCCTTGGGAAAGCCCAACTGTGACGATGGAGATTCTTTCGAGACGTGAGGGTCCATAACTGGTTCATCGAGGTTCCTTTCTAAAGCTTCTGCATCAAAAAACAAAGACAAAACACTTGACATTGCAAAAAAGGAGATATCTTTGTTTTGATAACATGAATTCCCTTACTTGTATTGACGTCAGCATGGTAGGGCACTCTTAAAATGTAGAATCCATCAAGAAATAACCGATTTGAGTATGTGTTCTCAACTTTCTAACATAAAAGATATTCCTGATTTTTTTGCTCGTTTTGATTTATGATGATTTAATATGTATTTATTTCCAGGTGCAGTGTATTTTAGGAGATCAGGGAAATGGAAACCAGAAATGTCCTTGCATTCAGAAGAATGTTTGAATCTCACCATTCAGCTGAATGGGATAACAGCTGGACAAGATCCCTACATCACTCAGCTACTTCATTGTATTCTTATAAATACAGCTGGTTGGTCATTAGTAGTGTAACAATAACTATTCCATGCTGAAAAGAGAATATTTACACAACGTTTTGGCTGTGGAGCCACAACTGACTCTAATTACTGCATGAAATAACAATTCTCACTCTCGCTCAAAAAATGAGTCCATCAACAAGTTCAAAAGAGCAGGTGTTTCTTTTCTCCTTCCACTTTCAATCAGGAAAAGGGAATTTCAAGAACATTATACACAAAAATACAACACACATTCCTGGTCGTGTAAATGTAAATTCTCTGACCAGCTTTCCCAAATGGTAGAAACACCGTTCTCCTTTGTGTTCAATGTTCAGTATTCCAGTGAGTGCTTAAAACATCATACATTTCAAAATCAAAGTCCTTGGAGTTGAAGGTTCCTTAGCATAGACAAGCTTTTCTATCAGCACAGGACCTTGTTAAAGAAATCTTTATCGGACAACAGAAAGAACTGGCCTGTCTCCTTGGGCTCTTCTCCTCCTTGCTCTTTTCTACTTTCTACCCCCCTCTCCTGTCCAGGTTCCAGCCTTCTCCTTAAAAAGGGTCAGGCTGATTCCTTCTCACCTGAGCTCAGTAATAATTAATAGTTCTCGGGTGCAACTAGAACAACCAAGTGACCTTTCTTAATTAACTAAAACGTCTTATTACTGATAACTGGACTGATATTATGGGAAGATAATTAAATCCATCAATGAAACACTAATTTTTTGTGTCAAAAGATTCTTTTTAGTGGCTAGTGTCACAGTAAGGCCAACGTACTATGTCTAACTTGGTCATTGCATGCAATGATGATTTTCACTACATAAAGCTTTTTATCTGCCTCATGTCGTAAAAAAAATCCATCTTTTTTGTTTCTGTCTTGGTTGTGAATTGCCGGAATTAACTTTAATCTTTAATCCAAATCAATTCAACAGCTCACAGCCAAAAGAGATGAAAGATAAAAATAAGAGGAAAAGAGTGCACTGCCTTTGAGCTAATAGAATCACAAATTAAAAATTAAACCTTTTACTCTGTTCAGAAACAGCAGGACATTTTGACCTCTGCTTGACATATCTAAATGGAAGTGAGGTCAGATTAGCTGCTTTTGTCATGAAAATAAATCCGGTCTCTAAATCCTTTTGTACAGCATGGCTGGTTGTGTATATGTGGCTCTAAGATGCCAATTAGCCTGACAGTAGTGTAACTTTGTTAATATAATTTAATATTTTGATAATCCATCATCAGAAAACCACATATTCTTGCATAGGTAATGTAAATTTATTGGCTCTAATTAACATGTGAGAATAATTCAGACTATAAACTAAGAAGACACCCAAGTTTGGAATCAAATTCGGTACACAGCAGTGCTAACCACCAATAAAATGTGCCACTATTTATCACTTCTCCTGAAAAATATGAATCACCAGGAATCCAAGAACAAATGGGTATGAATCAGACTACAAAACCAAACTAAACTGACATTCTGATAAACTGTATTATTTTTATCCCAATCATCCTTTGCAAGTCCTCTGATATAATCATAATCTTAATTCACATCTCACAAAGACACATGAAACAGAAATGCACTATAGTGACAACTGCACCTCAAACCTACAAAATGTCAAACCAGTAATATAAGGTAATAAAGTATATATATATAAAGTACAAAATAAAGGTCTGGGAAGAAAATAAGCAGTCTGGATGCATCACTTTAAAATAATGCACAAGGAACAGCCATCCAGCATCTGTCAACAAAAGCTTGACAATATCTACAGTAAATATCTGGAAGGTCTAGTTTCTTCTGCAACGCTGCTGTTTCAAAAAATACTTTTTATTATACATCTACCTTATTTGAAATTGTTTGAAGAGCTGTTTTTTTTTTATCAGGCAATGGGCAATAACTCTTGTGCCCACTTGGGAGGGCATGCTGCAGCTTAGCACATACTGGAGGGGGGGGGTCATATCTCTCACTGACGCCCACACAAGCTCTCAACTTTGTACCAAGAACTAAGGGTCTCCAAGCAGGCTACTCACAGCCTGCTGGCCTGGTTCCACAACCTGGATACCACAACTGACTGGGAATCCCAGCTGCAGTCAGCAGTTGACATGACTGGGTCAATGGTTCCCAATCCTGGTCCTGGTGACCCACAAACCTGTTATTGCTTCGGGCGAGTCCTCAGTTATACAATCAAACCCTTCAGTGACTTAACGAGAAGAAGATTAATTTGAACTGCTTTGTTCCCAGCTCTTAAACATGTTGGAGCTTTAACCGTTGTATTTTGAAAGAGAAGTAAAATTCCAAACTTGTGACTAGAAACAAAATGGAGATATTCAGTTGAAGCAACTTCTTAGATCAATTAAGGCTTAAACAATATAATGAAGTTGGGATGGAATGAAAATCAGCACCAGGGTGGGTCATTAAGACCAGGACTGGGAACCACTGTATGCTGTAGGTCATAGGGTTCAGCCACCACTCTGAGCTAAAGCCTTTTCTGGCTTGGTCACTCAGAAACCCGTTTCACCTTTTTCAATGTGTTGCGGTGCACTGGAAACCAATAGGAAACACGTTCATTCTATTAGCTGTGGGAAAATCTATGATCTTTGCGCTTCCGACAGATTAAAACAACGACTTTAAAGCAATCCATTAAGGTTATTTTCTATTCTGTCCATCCCCCACTGCCAAACTGCTAGTGAGAGATTACTAGGGAAGCGTGTGACAAATGATGTTCAGGAAATGTTTCCCTTCTCGCCCTGAGGTAGCAGAGAGATCAGTGCAAAATCAGTCTTCTTTGTGTGTTCTAATGTAACACCGAACTTGGTATAACATGGTTTAAAAAAGAACTGAGGCTCATAATCTTTAAATTAAGTGTTATTATCCACGTTATACCATCTTAAGCTTATAAAACAAACGCCATTAACCCAGGAATTTTCATTTCTACAAAATCATGCTTTCAGCCTTTTGAATAAACAGCTTATAATCCTTCAGGAAAAACCATCATGTCTCTGTGAATCTAATCTTATTGTGAAGGAATACGGCTTTGACAAACTTACTTCAGCTGCAACAATGTACGAGATCCATCATCGCTAACAGCATTTTTGAAGCTTCATCACAAATGGAACAGAAGGTTAATGAAAAAAAATCAGTGATAATATGGAGGCCGGTGGAAAACAGCATTCTACTGCCCCCATGTGAAGACTGAAGAAGAAATGTCTGCAGCTGAGCAGATTCAATGTCTCACTGCTTAAGGTAAGAAGTAAGAGAGCTGTTGTTTCTGTAGAGCTTTAACAAAAGCAAAAAAACATTACAAAATATGATTTAGATCCAGATTAGATCCAGCATCCTGGTTTGTTTTATGCTTCTTGCTGTATTTTGCCACAGAAGAGTACTTGTCTTTTCAGTTGAAATATGAGACTAGCTCAAGCGCTTTTGAGTAGATTTGCTACCTTAAAACTATTAATGGTCCATTTCTCTGTTTTTAAGTTTTTCAGACTCAAAATTGTTATGTAATTAAATGCTAGCATGTCAGTTCTTATTTAGTACTTTCATATTATTTGGAGAACAGACGTACAGTAATAGTAAACTCAGACTCAACATGTTTATATTTTGCTGTAGACGTATAGACAGGAAGATGTCAAAATATACAGATATGCCAATGCAAGATATATTTAATAAAATGAAGCAGGCCGCAACAGCAGAAGCAGAAGCAACAGATAGATGAACATGTCTGCAATGTTTAAAAATGCTAATGGTTACGAAGGCCACACAAGGATTCCCAGTGCTACAGTCTGTCAATACCATATGATTTTTTCTTAGAAAAGGCTTTTTTTGCTACCCCTTGCAAAGCCCATCCAAATCGCTTCCCAATTTCAAAATAAAAAAATTGCCAGTTAAAAGCGATACATTAAATAACATGTTGCTGCACTATGGATTATTCTTTTGTCAGTTTTCAAAATCTACCTGCCTTGTTGTTTACCATAGGCTATCTATCTGTTTTAACAACCTCCAGAGGGACTTCACACAGCTCATTGTGCAGGAGTACTGCTAATGCATTCTCTCCAGCACTTCCCTGACTAATGTACACTTACACAGTGAGTGCATGTAACAGCCAGTAATAAACATCAGGAAAAAAGACGACTGTTTACAGTGTGAGGAAAAAGCTAAATTTTTAATCTTTAAACAGACAGTTCAAGAGCTGCTGGTAGCTCACAGAAGCTTTCTTTGTCCACAAGAAACAAGTGGTTTGCATTCAAACTAATAAAATAAAGCAGACTGGTGGCTGCTTATGTGCATCATAGCAAGCTTCTATTCTATAGCATCCTCTGTAATAGGAGACACTTGTGGTGTCAAAAAAGAGCAAATTGTGGAATTACAACATGTCAGGTTTACGCAAGTCAGACACCAAATGTAGCAGTAATACAATTGTCTTAAATAAACTTTACTCTGAGAAACACAATCAATTCTTGACATGTTTTAGGACTATTTAGACAAGAACAGTTTGTTTCCTACACTTCACACAGTTGTTTAACGGTTAGACATGCAAACAGAAAATGTGTTGGCATTTCATCAGTTTTATCATTTGTTCTACGGAAAATGTGATTTCAGAAAAGGCACTAGGGAGTATTTACAGATGTTACACCTGACATCAAAGAAGAAAGACTGAAATTTACTTTAATGTGCTCTATTATATGGAATGGTCTGACCTTTTTTTGCTGACACTTTTGTGCCATTTTGAAAAGGGCAAAAAAACCTCCTGGATTCCATTATGTGATGAAATATGTGAATAAGGGATAACATTCGCCTTGCAGAAAGGAAAAAAAAACAATCTTTAATAGGCACACTGGAGACATTTCAAAGTTATTTGGCTCAGTACTGGTATAAAAATTATCTTTTGCTCATATAAATTTTTAAACCACTCTTGCTTTATATGTAAAATCAGAATGGAAGCAAATGAGAGTATTTGGATAGTTTTATATGTCCATGAATATCTCAGTTTAAAAATTACAGTCCTGTTTGATCAGTTAATTGCGATAAAAGTCAGTATTATATTAACCTATACTTTATCGGTTCTTGAGCTTGCTGTGTTTTAGGCTCTCACCACTACAAACTGTACAACCTTTACTTACAAATCTACATAACATTTAAAATGCCTGTGTAATCTGAAAGAAATTTAGTTTTGTGTTTGTCTAATATGTTCAGCATGACCATGCTAATTAATGTGGTTCATGTTAGCCTGCTAATAATAATGTTTATATAGTACCAATAACCACCTTAACATGACCGGGTCTGCAAACCCATAGAAATTCAAAGAGACCTGCCATCTGCACTTCACATTCCTGAAAATGAACAGAGATGTCAAATCCAATTAGAACTTTCCTGTTTCTCAGTGCATTGAAATTTCAGTGCCGTAAAATATTTCAAAGTAAACAGGCCAATACTTAGCAGTGTAGAGGTTTGCAGTCACAATGTTCTTGATAATTGAATCAATGTAATTATTGAGTGCTTTAAGAGGCCAGAAATCTCAGATGTAGATGTGGCCTTAACCTGCACAGCTGAGGTAATGACAGCCTGGACACAAGGGTGAGTTTACCTGGACCCACTGACTAGGTGAAAGAAGTCAAGGAGTGTCTGCAAGGGCAGTGAGGAGGGGGGTTACAAAACTATCAACTCTGGGAAAGGTGTGTCTGTTAACCAGACTTAACTGAGCGATACTAGGAGCTAGCCACTTGGTCTCAAGTTTTGGTTAGGAACTACAGTATATTATAATATTTCAGCTCTTGTGTTCTGAATTTGTGGTACACATGCAGTAGGTAATTACACTGTTGAGGAGAAATATAATGCCTTTGTTGGAGCTTGTGTTCCTAGAGACAGCTCAAAAGGCTTCCACAGGCAGTAAAACAGAAGCAGAAATGCCTTCATTTTATGTATCATTTTTTCGGTCATTTAACTTTCATTTGTTTAGACATTAAGAAAATAACAATTTGCTGGATTACCTCTTCCAGGAATATCACCACCATGCTGTCTGTCATCGGAATCATCGGCTTCTGTGACTTCAGGGTCCGTTACAGAATTAGCTTGATTGAATGCATTTTTCCGAGCATCTTCAGCCTGTAACCATGGCAACATCGCTTACCCGTCAAATTACAGTACCCACAAATCATTAAATGTTTTTGCTCCATTAAAAGAAAGAGAAATTAACGACACCAAATAATAAGTTGGACATTAAAATATATGCGAGGAAAACGACGAGTCATTACCTTCCAAATAGAGCAACACTTGTGTCCAGTTACGCTACGTGAAGCTATAAATTGGTTGCTTTATTGAGGTCACCAGGACGCCCTGGCAGTGATCATTATAAAAAAGTTTGCATGTTCTTTTTTATTTCCAGAAAGACTTTGATTTCTATCAATCTAGTAGCATTTACATTCACATCGGGATGCTGATCTTTGCCAGGCTAGAAAACAAACTTGAAATAACACATTTTTAGCCAACAAATATATGTCAGGGACATGGTTAATTAAAGTACAAACAGGACTGGGTCCCAGCTGTCAGGTCATTACTGTACCATTGATTGTGAGCATCAACTCACAGACTAGAGGACAGGCTGACAGCCCTTTGGTTTGCCACCAGGAAGCACATTTTGTTTAAGTGTGGTTCACCCATTATTTGGGGTTTTTTATTTTCTATTTTTGTGCTAAATTTTTCTGCCAAGTAAACAGTAGTTTACAGCGCTAGTAGCTAAGAGATCTAGACCCCCTGTATGTATAGGTACTAAAATTAAACCTAGAAATTATTAAGTGGTAAAGAGAAAGTGTGCCACAAGGTATAAAACACAAGCCTCACGTGTTCACTATAATTTTAAGCCTAAATGGATAAAGACAGACAGGAATTTGATTCCTATTCCTAATAATCATTATTGTCCATTATTAAAGCCACCAACATTTGGAGGTCATGACAGCGTTATATCTTCCTCTCCATCCCCATATTTCAGAAGCTCCTACATCGTTTAAGGCTCATCCACTATCCTAAGGCTACTCTTTTTAAACATCTGATACTGTTCAGTATAAAGCCACAAACGTCTGTATGGGAAGTCCTTGATTTCAGATGTAGTAAAGGGGCAATCAGTCCTCATTTTATCACTGTTTTTTAACATTGTTAACAAGATATGCAAAGACGTTACTGAACTAATACACACATAGCATGAGACAATATGGTACTGACTAGCTCTCATAATGCAGTGTCAATCAGCCAGGACTTCAATAATAATACACTACACAGCATGGGAAGTGTCAGAGTAAACTACACAAGTTGATTTCATAAATGTGTTGCTGTTCTGCTTTCTCATGCTGTGAACACGTTCATATTCAATCATATCATTTATAAATGCCATGAACCTGAGTAGTATTCCTTACAAGATCCATATTAAGTATTAAAATAGGGTTATAACATCATCCCTAATGAGAGTGAAACAGCAGTCTATTGTTGCTTGCTTTGGCTAAATATACACAGAGCACAATTAGAAGCCTCTATTTAACTACTTAATTAATATGCATATATCTGATAACGGATAGACGGCTAGATATCCAAGATATGGATTATGGGAATGTGATTGTTAATTAGCTCTGCTTACTTAATCAGTACATATGCAAAGTACACATCTCTTTAGCTGTTCCTGCTTTCTAGAGTTTTGAAATAGCCAGAGCTAATTAATATTTACATTTTTGTAATTCAGAGATGATCTCTCTGTCTGCACGGCCATCTCTAAGTGGGAATTATGTGCTTCCGCACTATAAAAAACGATGGAATTGAGAATTACCTGAACAATAAACATGCATTTTTCCTCCTTCAAAAATGAAAAAATAGCCCTGCATGTACAGTACTCTAAGATGACAAGAGGAAGGGTCTCTTTTTGTTGTTGTATAGCTGCACCCTGTCGCTAGGTAACAGGGATAGGAAGCATGACAACGTAATGATTCTCTTCGGACTGTGAAATAGTCTCAGGCTGCTAAAGAATCATTATTATTTGGATGATGAACTGCAAGGTATTAATTTCTTTACAAATGAATAATAAATTGCACATAATCAATTTGGATTAAGTTTGGATATGAACTGATATAGTGTGAATATCAATTTGGTTATGAATTGACTGTATCTGGAATGGGAGCAGCCCGATTAAAAATGAATGTAAAAATCAATTGACAAACAGCTACAGCGGAAGGAAAAAATACCTATATCGGCTGCTGTTATTGCTCTTTTGTATTAAAGGAATTTTCAAGGACATTCACAAAGCCTAGCAAATGGTCACATTTCTGCACTTTATGATGGGTATCTAATTGAAAGATCCAAAGACAAATCATCTTACTACGTGCACTCGGTTAGGGGACAAAATTCATGGAATGTGCTTAAAATTGTTCCTTTCGGTTAACATGTCATTAGCTCGGTTTTTCTGTCAGATCCCATTATCAGAAAGACACTCATTCCCGGTAAAAGTCAGGTTATCCCAAACAACCAGAGAATAAGGAGGGACGTCGCTGTGGGCAGCACGCCAGTCCATCGCAGGGCACACAAAGAATTGATGACAATTTCGAGTCTTTAAAAGGGGGAAGGAAAATGGAGCAGTCGGAGAAGCCCGACACCAACCTGAGATAACATGCAGGCTCTGTATAGACAGTGCCCCAGTCCAGAACTGAGCCCAGGGCGAAAGAGATGTGAGGAAGCTCATCTAACTGCCATGCCTCAGTGCTCCTCCTGACTGAGCACTTTCATCGCTAAACCACTGGAAGACATTGCATCGTGACGAGGAACGGTCAATGAGCCTCATCCTCAGGGTGTTACACAGAGCACTATAAAATAATAACTTAAGACAGTGTGAATCTGCCTAAGTCACTGTTTACTCTCCTCTCGCCCCCTTCTCCCGTTTTATTTCCTTTCTTATTTTGCCCTTACAAAGCTCCCGAAGGCAAGCTGACTGCAAGGATCTGCTTGGCACTAGATTTTTGTGTTAGTGCAGCTGACATTGCTCCCCAGCTGGGTCTTCTCAACCCAGATTGGTTTTGTCTTCTAATCCTTTGTGACACTTCTGTGTTATTACTGCTGACACCCCCAGTGGTAATGGGACTGATGCTAGCTGTCAGATTTTATAGTTCTTTTCCCCCTTGGAAAGACTACCAAAGTACTTAGGAGCTATTTTCATGTTAGCAGATCCCTCAGGGTTAGCACTGTCTTTACTCTTCATCAATTAATTTGTTCAACTCAGTGTAACTTTATTGGAATCACTTAGGGGCCTTAATTAGTCCTAAAAACTTGTTCTTTGTTGTAGCTGTCACTTGTCACTGTGAGTACTGCAGACTTCCCTGGCAAAGTGAGGTCTGGCACTCTGTTACCATCAAGGCAGAATGTCCTAGCTTCTATCCAAAAGGCATGCTGAGGACATGTAGGGTAAAAGCTGCCGAATAACAGTGAAGACCACCACTGAACGTCATAGTATGGCAATATGTTACACTCCTGGCTTCTACCGCCAAGATTTTCTTTAAAAAAAAATAATAATCAGCTGGAAAACACTCTGCTAATAAACTACCATGTTATTTAAATGATTGAATGCCCTTTTCAATTAAAACAGCTTAGGAATTCTACTGGAGTTGTGATTTTCAGTTATTTGTTATTTTAAAAATCGCTTTTGCCAGTCTCCAGTCTGCTGCTTACATTAACACAAACCTCAGAATAAACTGGATAATTATACAGCACTTCACACTATAAACTATAAATGCTTCCACCTTGGCATGCAGCAAGGGTTAAATATATTCTCATTTTTTCCCCTTACTTTTATATCTATTTCCTCCTTTTCGTCTTCTTTATTTTCTGTGAAAGTGTTTCCAACAGCTTTGTCAAAGAGGCGCAGGAAATAGCTCAAGGGGAACTTGTATTCCCTCGCCAGCATCCTCAGGGCCTGCAGTACTGAGAAAAGCTGTGCTCCGCGCTGGGCTATAGGAAGCAGCTTGTTTCTCAGCTCAAAGAGCCTGGACTCAAGTGATTTAGCCCTCTCCAGCTTTTCAGACAGCTGGAAGAAAAGGAAATGAGAGCAGTGTAAAAGATCAAGCAAATATATTTTCTTTTTCCCCAGTCATATTCTCATATTCCAACCACAACGACCATGAAAGTGATTTAAGTGGTCAGAAAGCTACAATTAAAGTTGATCATTTTTTAATGACTCTTTTTATTCTTAGAATAAACATAAAACACTTGTGCCTAATGTGGTGGCACAAGTTACCAAGGTGTAGAGAGACTTGTAATTATATTAAGCAATTAAAATCCAAATGTGTGTATCTGAAGTGATTAAAAACTATGCTGATTTTTTCACTAGTGGATATTTTAAAAGGTTGACAATCTTACTTGTTTTCTGTTGTTAAAGATGGCAGTCACAGCTTCGATGTCTTGAGGTGAGGAATTTAAAGACTCTTGAAACTTTTGCTCCAGTTTCTTGAGCAAACATTGGACTTGGTGAACATTCTTGGATGCGTTCTGATTTGGGAATACATACAGAAGAACACTGACTAGAAAGATGAGTGCAAATGACCAACATACTAAAAAAACTACCTCTAAAACATTGAGTAAGAAAATCAATCAGTAATGTCAATTCACATATCTGATGGCAACCAGCATAACACTTAAGAAAACAACAAAATAACACCTGTGCCTGTAAGGTCAGTATTTTTTATGCCAAAATACCAATATTCTATTAAAGGCCACCATACATTTTCTCCTTAATCTTCATAAATTGTTAGACTTTCAGAGGTTTAAAGGGCACATACTGCCATACCATTGTGCAGTACACAGAAATGCTCACTGAATCCAGTGGCCCATTAAAGGAGTAATTGAGGCATTGAAGGGACCTGCAAATTCCTCCACTTGCAAACCTTTAATTGCCTATGAAGATCCTGCTGGGTTCCGGCAAACAGTCGGTGAAGCAGGAAGTCTCGTATTGTATCCTCGTCCTCGCTGCAGTTTACAAGAGTGGCTCCAGAGGTGATGTCTGCAGGCAAAGGTCTTTGCGCTTGAGATGTGGCAAGGTACAGTTTAAACTGGTCTGAGCCGAGCAGTCTGCGTCCTTCCAAGCAGACGATGCTGGAACAATTGTCTAATAACACAGCGAAGACGTCAAAACATCAGTTCCATCGTCACGATTTTTTGAGAATACAGTACAGAAGTATAAATGACAGAAATTTACACCAAACTTAATTTTCAACAATGTTATGGTAAAGCTTCATGAAATTTAAAGAGCACTATGGGTGGAGAATTAATGGAACAAGCAACCCTACCGTGTTGTTGAAGCCAGTTTCTTGAGTCAAGAAACAGCTGGATGAGTTACAGTAGCTCCTAGCAACCAAAGAAGCTGGGTGGCCTCTCTTTTTGTTATTACGGTAAGTCTAGAATCACTCAATTGCAGTAAAAAGTAATTTTAGTATGCAATTTCATTGGATTGAGTTTTAAATGGCAACTCAGGGGTACTATGGTTAGTACTGCTGCCTCATAGCACTGGGTTCAATTCTGGACTTAGGGTGCTCTATATGTGGAGTTTGTATAGTATTTTCTCCATGTTCACATGGGTTTCCTTTGGGTGCTCCGGTTTCCTCCCACTGCCCAAATACAGCCTGTTAAGTTAACTGGCTTCGGGGAAAATTGTTACTGGTATGAGTGTGTGTCTGTGTGTGCCCTGCGATGGACTGGTGTCCTGTCCAGGGTGTGTGAGTGTGTGTGCCCTGCAATGGACTGGTGTCCTGTCCAGGGTGTGTGAGTGTGTGTGCCCTGCAATGGACTGGTGTCCTGTCCAGGGTGTATCCCGCCTTGCGCCTGTTGCTTTCCTGGATAAGTTCCAGCTTCCCAGTGATGCCAAATTGGAAGAAGCAATGAGTAAAATGCATGGATGCATTTTAAATCCAAATTAAATAACTCATGATAGTGTACTGTATGTACACTGAACCTTTAAGTTCAGTTCATCTTAAATCACTATCCAAATTCCAAAGATATACTTGTGTAGCAACTGAACTAGCAAAATAAGGAAACAGCCCCACTGTTTGACTTCTGGCACGTACCACTTTGAGGCTCAGTCTCAGTGACCGTGTTGCAGTGCTCAATCAGAGGCCGAATCAGGCTAGCCCAGAGCTGGGTGTAGTTATATATAAACAAGCTGTGACCAGAGTGGAGAGCCTTCTCAATGGCCAGAGAGATACTGCCGTCTGGCCTAGATAAAACGGAGCAGAAAAGACGATTTTAGAAAGTAACACATTTCTAATCACGCCTTTGCAACATGCTTGCTGTTTACTCACTAAAAATCCTGAAATTCTACTGTGGTGATTTGATAGCGATTTGACAATTTCCCTCACAGGGTTAATAAAGTATCTATCGATCTAATCTTAACAACAATGCAAAAAGAAGCCCCCAATACCGTATATATTTGCCTTAAAATTAAGCCAATTTAACACTGAAAAGAAAACATCCTGAATAATCAGAAATATTCATTCATCTACACAACAGAAATGACAAGCACAGTACTAATTTATGTGTATAGTAGCAGGATGGTCTAACCCTTCACCAAGCCTGAGACTCGTGGCTGACATGGGGGGTGAAGTCTCCTGCAGCTCTTGGAACCATTTTTCTGCTTCATTGCTGGGGTGCATCAGAAATGGGGGCCTCTGCCAAGAACAGAGCAGAATCACAGCATTCTGCATCTGCTGAAGGGTCCAGTCTGGAACAAGAGATCGTGTGTGAACACAGGGAAAACAGGATGCAGAGATGTCAAAGCAAGATCCCAGAAGATTCAACGGACAAAGTGATTTTGCAAATAAGTCTACGACAGCATTACCTTGTTAAACTGAGGCAGCCTGAAATGTTTGATGTAGCTAGAATAATTAGTTGGAATCTTCAAACATCTAATTAATTCAATTTAGAATCTGTTTTTTTTTCCTAATGCAAACATGTTAATGTAGCTAATTAAAGAGATCTTGCAAATCCTGTACAAAACACTAAACCCTACAAAAATGATTCAATTAATAATACATTCGCTACAAAAATTGACAAAATAATTTAATACAGCATTGCTACTGCTTATTATTACTTTTTATTTCCAGGTGAATTTAGAACCATAAGTGATCTATATTGATTTACAAGAAACACAGTCAAACACATATCTTGACACCAATTTTATACAAGGTTCAAATATCAGGAACTATTTTAGTTTAGGGGCTGCAAATTCCAGTTGTACCTTTTCTGATATTAACCTGCTAGGAATTAAAGCTTTCTTGGTTAAATGTGATACTTTACCTCTAATACAAAGCAAACTGTTACATATGATACATATAGATCAATCCTAGCTAGTGTATACTGTATACCTATAGAAAAAGGTCCAGGAGAAAACAGATTTACCTGATGTACTTTTCAAAAATTAGTCTTGTTAACCACAAATCAAAAAACTCTCTTGGACCCCTGGAAAGTATGGATTACCACATTTACATGCATACTGTTTGTCCAGAACTACTGTCAAATAATAAAACGGACACAACCACCTTTCAGAACCCAGTGGTGAATCTTCTCGTCTCCAGCCACTATTTTCAGCAAGGCTTTAACAAAGTCATGGTAGTGCTCCGAAGCAATGACAGGTGCAGAGAGGTCCGCGGAGAAAGACCCAGCATCAGCAGGCCCTTCAGCTTCCTGAAGCATCTGAACATCCTGACCACCTTTTTCTGCAAACCCTGTATAGCAGAACAAGAAAACGCTTATACAGTACTCTAAAAAAGTACTTCTACAAGCCCTTCTGTGAGCTAGATAATAATTAGAGTTTAAAAAACAGGTGAACAACTTTTTAATTGAGCTTGCCTTAGGCGTATTGAATTGGAAACACTGCACAGAATACGTCTTACTATTAATGAGGGGCTAGGTTAAGTTTTCCTTGTGAACAACACAGTCTTGTTACAATTTCTTTCAGTTCGATTTATTTAATAATGGAGGAGCGCGAGAGCTAAGACAGTGAAAATGTAAGAAAATAATCTCCTCACTTCCCCAAAAGGGAGGAGTTGGTATGTTTGTCTAGAAACCCTGTGCTACCCATCTAACAATTCCTTTCAATAAAGCTGATCAATGGGGGGGGAAGTAGACATGATGAGCGTGATGGAATCTGCAGTACCAACAACAAAGGTTTTGTTAGCATAAAGTATCCATTAAAGCAAAAAGAATCCTTTTTTTTCTTTTTCAGTAGGACTGTGAAGAGTATGCAATGCTAGGGAAATTAGAACAAATGGCACAGCCCTCCTTGGGGAACTCTTTGTACCTTGGCAGTTCTGTTCTCCTTGTTTGCTATCTGCCATCACATTTGTTTCCTTCTCCGTCTCCTCACCCTCTCTCTTGAAGAATTCTACAGAGAAATCAATTACTCTCCCTGCAGCACAGAGAAACGACAGAGGGGACATTTTTTTTTTTTTTACAATGGTTTAATCATCTCCATCAATACAGCTCTGAAAACATCAGCCATCACAGCCCCGAATATTGATTGGGACATTAAAATAATTTCCCAGATTCTGCAGCCAACATAAAAGTGACAGGGAGCCCCATTTTAATCGGGTATGAAAATCTTGTTCTCCTGAGCGGTTGAAAAGATTAGTGATAGCATGTCAGTAGACAGAGATAGAAATCAATGCCGGCTTCTATCGGTGCTTATCATATGTGAAGTTACACGGAAAAGGGAAAAAATGTAAAGGCCTGATATCAATCATTAACTGTGCAAAGTAACTAAGAGCAAAGGTCAGCTTTGAAAACTGCTCAATTGATGTAATAACACCACAAAGCATGGCATAGTTGGAGTAATTAGTGTAATTCCATGTAGTGTGCTGTATGTTACAGACATGCCTTATTTAAGCATTGCAGCTAAAGGAAATGGGTAACAGAAAAACACTTCTTTTGTCTTTGTCTAATTCTCATTCCACATTGCGACTGCTGAAAAATCACCTTTTTTGACAGTGCATGGAGCTAAATCATTGACGTACCTTTGACAGGGTCAAACGAGTCAATTAAGAATGAAAGCCCCCTATCCCTCAGGCACCTGGGCCACTCCAGACTCAACAGCAGTTGACAGAACAGGTGTTCGTATGGCCCAAGGTAACACAGGAGACCTGCTGCCATGGCCGTGCTCCCGGGGAGACCCTGGAGTCGCTCCGCCATGCAACAGGAAATCAAAGAGTATTTCCTGCGCTCAAGCTGAAGAACCTAAAATTGCAAAACAAAGAGGTACGCTTGAAAGAGCGTTTCACAAGCAGAAGACTGTGAAGCCTTGAGGCAAGCAAAGGAGCCAGTAAGTAAATTATCAGGCGATCTTGGATATCTCTTGAACTTTTCCTTGCCAGTTGAGCCGTTTAAATTAACACATTCTTAAAGACGATTGCTTTCATAGCCAATGTTTTATTACGCCTGAAAGTACACCGATTGGTTTGTAGGGAGACCTTTTTTAATTTAGTCCATAGCCTGGCACAAAAGGTTCAACTGAGTTCCAAGGTTGTGCAGCACCACAGATGAGACACAAAGGGTTTTAAGTATAATAAAACAGCAAAAGAATAAAACAGCTAGACAAAGGAACCCTCTTACCTGCTCTACAGTGCTGAGGTAAGCCAGCTTCTTTGAAATCTCAGCACTCTTCCTCTCCTGTTCATTCTTGTCAATGGAGGCTTCTTCAAAGCCCTTCTCGAGCTCTTCCAGTCGCCTCAGCAGGTTAGCCTTCCTGGTCTGCTGGCTCTTCAGTCTCTGTACAGACTCCTCCAGGGCAGCACTCATCTCAGCCACCTTACTCTGCAAGGGCCTGACCTTTAAAAGAGACCAACACGACTGACGGAGGGGCGCATCTTCTGGGGGTGGGTGGTGATCTTGTCAAAAAGCTGGTATCGCTGTCCAGAGTAATCCAGGATGTCCAAGACAACAGCTGTCTTCATATGATACAGCCAAAGTAAAAATATTAACTGCTAGAAAAAGAGCTAAATGACCTCACAGGGACATGCTTTGGATGGTAAACATACCTGTATAGTACATATGGAAAAGTACAGTAAATACCTTAAATCAAAGAGTAAAAATCAGGCAGAATGACCATGAACTAATCACATTATTAAAAATAATCCCTAATTGTAGCAAAACTAATGTTCATGTCCCCATTGTACACCTTGTTACATTAAATGGGTCACACTGCATCTGAATGTTTGCCTATGAGTTCAAATTAAGGATGTTTTTCAATCTCTCAGATCTTGTAGTGAAACGCCAATTAAAGGACTGCTTTAAGATTTTCCTCTGTTCATTATAAGACTGGAATGAATTCAGCGCACAGCAATTAGACTAATCCCCTGGTTCAAGGGCATCACTCACTTAGATCATTTAAGGGATTTAACCCTTCTGCAGGAAAAAGGAAGTGTTTTTTTAAATCCTAAAGGAAGATGACATCTTGAGTCACTTCTAAATCAGCAGAAAGACAACCAAGGACAAATCCACTATTCTTTGACCTCCACATTACCACAAGGGGAAATCTACAGTTTGAGGTTGCATTATACATCTTATATTAAAGTCAAAAAGCAGATTTAACATTTTCTGCTCAGTGTAAATGGAAAAATATCCTTTCTTACTAACAAGTTTAAACAGTGTCATCAACGTATCGGTGTAATATTATCAGCATCAGTAAAATCCAGATGCTGTAACCCTGTTGATTGACTCTGCTCTCTTCTAACGGCCTGGGAAGTGCATGCATAATCGTCACAACTAATATATAGCTCAATACAACTGTCAGATGAGATCTAGATTCATTTGTGTAGGATTTTGTCCGCTTGTGTTCCATCTGTTAAAAGGTTTGCATGACAAATTGCTTGAATTAATTAATTTTAGCTTAGCCTAACTGAAAGAGAAATCAAAGCGAGTTTCCTACTCCTGCACTGCTACTTGTGTTGAATAAACCCACTTAAGTACAGCTGTCAAGAAAAAAAACATACTGTATCTCTACATTAATCTGAAAAGCTGCAGATTTTGCTTTATTAATGGCATAAACTTAATTACTGTATAAACCGCCAAAGGGTATGAATTAGTATTTTGATATTAAAAGCATAGAGTATTAAGATTTTGCACCATATTGTAATTGCCTAATCATTCCCTTAATATGTCACTTTTTGTTTTACGCAGTTTGAAAAAAGTGGCTTTTGCCAGGGCTTCTACAGAGCAATCAGTTGTCCAAAAAGAAGCAAAGCATCATCTCCTACCCATTAAACATGAGGTATTTTGGAGAGCTTACAATCTTTTATATATACAAAATATTATTTATACTCTGTAAAATACATTCAAGATTTTATCAATGACGGGAAGAGCTGCTGAGTAAACCCAGTCTAATAATCTGGTGTTTTCTCCATCAATAGAATGTATCAGGCAGAGGGAGATAAATAATAGACAGGAATACAGTCCTCATACTGCACAGGTTACAGGTTTTATGACCTCTGACATATGAGACATGGAGCAAGGATACAGAGGGAGGATATTATAGGCCAAGAGCATTGAGAAGCATCGAGCCGCTGCAGCTCTGCTCACTGAAACGTTTGTCAATTGAGGTCGTACCTCAGTACCGTACATAAAAGAGAATGGTAAAATGTCCTGACTATGGGTTGGACATTTTGTTTGCCACACAAACTTGTTGCTTGGAAGAATGAGTTGTGGCATAAAGGAATAAAAAATAGTGTTAGAGCTTGTTTATGAGCTGCCACGTGCTTTACCCATGCAATCCTTCAGGGAAGCGTGTCAACCTATAGCCAGGGCACCACAAAGAAAGCTTTTTGTTTTCATGTGTTGCGCTCTACATGTATATCTTTATACTTGAAGGCAAAGCTGCAAGACCCCTGCCAGTGTGCAGTAGCACTCAAAACTGCTCAGTTTCGCTGAAGGTTTTTCTCCCTGGTTCTCATGGTTTCCAGCAATTCCATCTACTTGTTCCAGTAAAACTTTTTTTCTAAAAAGTTAGAAGATAAACCTGGCTATCACGATGTGGGGTAATTAACTACACCTTCAATACCTACTTATTTTTGTCATGGAAAGACAGCCTGTAGTGCATTCTGATAGCGAACACTGGAGAAGGAATGTGGCAGTGTAACCCTTTCTCTCTCACATGAAATCATGGGTATGCTTTGGTAAAACTAACCACAGGCACTGAAGACATCCCAGATACTGTAAGCACAGATATAGAAAGCATCCTTATTTTTGGTATCACGGTATAGTATGTCAGCCTGACTATTAAGAGTAAAGGGAAATTGTCCAGAATTGTTAATATTGCTAGTAAAATTATTGCTCAAACACGGAAAAGGCTTAAAGAGCTGTATTATATTCAGTTCAAATAAAGCTCTTCTTATCATAGATGACCCCTCCTACCCTCTTCATTCCCATTTCCAACTGCTGCTTTCAGGGAGGTGTTTCAGAACGCCCGTGGGCAAGAAAATGTCACCAGAAATCTTTTGCTCCTGTGCAATTGGTACAGTATATTAAACACAGCTAAGTTCCTGTCGGATTATATATAATGGTAGTAAGATATGGGCAGAGCGAGATCTATGTGTATACATTGTTGCATTGTTGCAGTCTAAAACTACTCTTTATTTTAAACACGTATTTATTTTATTGCTGCGTTGTTTATTTTTATAGTTTTGTATGAAGATGCAAAGATAGATTTTCCACTCTTTTGGATGGACAATAAAGTTAGATCGTATCTTAAGAGCTATGGGCAGCTTCAGCAGAAGTGTCACAGAAATGCACTGTTATCCACAGGAGCTCTAGCGTTGGGCTTAACACTGAACCCAAGGGTGTAATGATTCAATTCCTGCCACAACACTATTTTTCAAGTGTTCCCCATGTGGTCTCATAAGCATCCATTCTGGTATTGATTTCACAAGCGTCTCTCTCCAGGACTTGAATTTCCAGCCTCTTAGGCTAACACTGGGAAAGAACGGATGTCTTCAGTCCTTCTCTCCAAGCGATGATTATACCAAGCACTGTTGATTTACACACAGACCTTTCTTCTCAGAACTGAGACTTTGATCTACAGCAAAATTGCTAGACTGAAGCCTATATATTATTCATCATAAGGGAAGTGTAGGATTCCTTTATCCAAAGGAAGCAAGATATCCCAGTGGATAATCTCTGGGCTTTCTTTCTCCACTCTTTCCATTAGTTTCCAATATCTATCAGCATACATGACACGCCAAGAGTCTGGAATAGTGCAGGTCCTTTTGGTGGCACTGCTTATTCAGTTCAAGAGAGTCAGAGATCTGTCTTGCAGGGGAAGAGTATTCCATAAGGAACATTTTGTATATTCAATATATGACAATTTCTGTTTCATTAGCTTGCCATTTCTTAACTGCGGTCCATCATTAATGTTTTTAGGGAGAGTTATTATTACAGCTTCTATAAGCAGAATAAAATACTTTTTTATTATTTGCTTTAATTAAGTGATATTGAAAGAGTTAAAAAGCACCAGACCTACCGGCCTTGTATTTTCATAATTCACCATCTAAAATACAAGATAAATAATACAGCTTCAGTTGTTCAACTGGTTTCATCCTGATTCTATTAATCAATAACGCGCCAGGAAGTGGGTTAGATTACATTTAATAAAATGCTAAAAGGTAATCTTTTCATCTCTCAACTCACATTATACATGTAAAGACTGCAGTAAACCAACAGCATGTAATTCAAGGCTTTGGGGAACTGCCTTCCAGCAATGTCCTCTTTATACACAGCTAATAGCTAGTATGTTTTTTAACACACTGTAGGCTGTAATGAGTGTAGTGCATTTTCTGCATTTATTTGTGTCATTATCATAGACAGACTTTGCCAGTTTAAGTGAAACCTTAAATTCCTTAAACAAGCGATCTTGTTTCGCCAAAAAGAAGGATGTAATCATGGCACTACACTTCTGGGGACACACCTGCTGTTAAACTTAAGTAAATTACAAAAATAAATCTAGAGGTATCTTAAAAAGTAGACATAATGAATAAGCTTAGACTGAAACGTCATGAAAGTAAGCCAGTCTAGCAAAGTGATGAAGTGTGTGGTGTGTGCAAGGGGACTTCGTTAGAAACCCACCCATAAAGCACATTTAGTGGATAAGTAATTTGGTTTAATGAGATTGATTTTGTAATCATTCGATATGAGTTTGCAATTATTGAACTACCACCTTTATACATTGAGATTTCAACCATCTGAACTACAGATTCTGGTGTTTGTGGCAATTTAGGAAAATAGGCTCATTTAAAATAAATGTACCAGAAGGTAAAGAAACAAAACAAACCAGCACTATTGGTTGCCATTAAAAGAAAAGTATCAACACTGCCAGCTGTCCTGTCAAATAAAATGTTCCAAAAAGGAACATGAGGAAATCAAAGCCATTTCAAGTTGTAGATCAAATTGCATATTTGAGGAAAGAATACAATTTCAGTCTGAAACAGCACAACAGTTTTAGTTAACCACCAGGGAGCACTGGGGAGGCGGGGAGACTGCTGCCTCAATGCTTGGTTCAGTTTCAGACTGGGTACAAGCTTGTACCACATCTGAGTAGGTGTGTGGGGTTTCTTTGGATTCTCTGGTTTCCTCCCACTTCACAGGGTCCTGCTGGTGAGGTTAATTGGTTTGTCTAAACTCCCTCCCTGTGTGTTGACACTGGGAATCCTGAGTTGGGATGACTATTAAAAGTCAGGATCCTGTCTGTCTTGCTGCCACAATAGTTCTCAAGTTCCCACAACCCTTAGAAGAAATAAGAGATTTTCTGGAGATGGATAGACCATTACCACCTACACATGCATATATACAGACTATATACATATTGTTTTGTGAATAAGGTCATTCAGAATCGTTCTGGTTAAACAAAGCTTAACATTTCAAACACAAATAAAAAAAAACAGAACAAGAAAACGGTCTCCCACTCAAAATGTAAAAAAAATATCATTATGATTGAATTCCCTCACTTTCTCCCTTTAAAGGGCTACTCAAAACAACAACTGATGCCCTGTGCGGTTTTCTAACATACACTGCACTGGATTTCTTTAATTCAGAGCCAGTAAATTTCCACTCGTTCAATCTCAATTAGCTAGTGGGGAATTGATTTCAAAGAATGACAGGAATTATGTGGGGGATTAATGATCACTGATTTATGAGTACTGAGTAGCATATCAATAAACCCAAAGAGATTAATCACTTGTAGTTGGAGCAGGCACTCTTATCCATTACATTTCAAAGTAATCACTCAAAAAGCTGTTAAATGATTCTGATTGATGACCTTAACCTACAGGACCCAATGCATTTGCAAAAGCAGAGTGTACATTTTTGCAATGTGTTTCCCTCTTCGCTCAATAGTGGAGGTTTAAAATGACATGGGGCATGAAGGGAATATGTTGCAATTCTCACGTCTCTTATTGAAATCATTAAAGTTTCACCAGCCGGTCTGCCAATTAAATTTACATTTCCTGTTCTGGAAACTAGGTATGAATCGGCTTTGAAAATGCATCCTGGACCATGGCCATAAATAAGGCAATCAGACTTGTACATGACTATAATTTTCATTTTCAATCATATTTATAATGATTAATATTTTACCATAATAATAAATGAAGTAAATTGTTTCAAATACAATAGAAACAAAGCACACCAGGCTGAAGCAAATAAAGGTTAATAAGAATAAGTTGTTGCATTGTCATTGTTCATCAGTATTCTAGGCTAGATGTACAACTTCAGACTCAATCACTAATTAATTAGCAGCAACTATGCCTGTTCCTAGTTAGCTTGTGCAACCTTTCTGCACTTGACTTGCACAATCAAATCCGTTTGGGCTTTGGACATCAAAGCCTTCTGCAGGTCTTCAGCTATTATGCTGATCTTATTAATTAGCATGCCAATAACAACAATGCAGACAGACTGCTTTTTTTTTCTTCTGGTGTCTTACACATCAAAAGGAGACATGCAGCTTTTATTAGCCACACACAAAAGGCTTCATTTCGGCACTTGTATTTTGTTTCAAGTTAAAAGAGCAAAACAGGAGTCGGTGAAATAAACCTTCAGCGTAAGGAAAGGGAAATAAAAAGATCTAATTGCACACAGCGAAAGGTAAAAAGGTAACGGTAAAGTAACAGAATCCCCTTCTGGCTCTGCTTGATCTCATCTGATCCGCTTTAAAAGCTGCTGCTCTTTGCTCATCGATGGAAAAGCATGCTTACATATATTTTACACTTTTCTTGTTTGTCCAAAAAAGACTCAAGTATTTCGGACCCAAAAAATACCATACTTTTAAGCACCTTTGCAATAAAAGTTGTAGACAATCTGCACACATTTAAAGACACTCTCGTAGACAATGTACTGTATTTAATCAACCAGATTGTTAAGCTTCTGCCTGTTTTACAGAATACCCAGTATAACAAAGAGATTTGTAATGTTGGTCCCTCATGAGAAACCTGCCAGAAATGAACCATAATCTGAATGATTATTCCTGCTGTTAATATAAAAAAAACTAACTTTCGTTGTCCATCTTTCTTAGTTCCAAGGATTCATCATCAAGGTACATTTTAATGCTGAAAATCGATGGAAATTTAAGTTTTATTAGTAAATATCCTTCAGGGGAAAAGCAGGTGGCTTGTGAAGAGCCTGGCAAGTCTTTTCTGTCCCCCAGTCCATCTGGCTGTCTCTCATATTCTCTGAAGTGCTTTCAACAGTCGGTAAAATTCATACACTATAATTAGAGCAAAATAATACCCCTGACACTGTGATTAAACGTTAAACAACAATTCTGGTCCAGAAGAGTAGAAAAACATGCTAGAATGTTTTCTTTGTCAACCACGGTGAAATCATAAGACTACAGCATTTGTGAGAAGGAAAATGAAGGAAAGATTCTCCTGCCAAGAGAGATTATAGTCAAGCAAACTGCAGGCACATTATTACACTTGCCAGAAGTAAGCTTGAAGAAACAGACGCAAACCTTCCGACTAGTAACAAATGCACCAATTCTGTTTGTATTTGACGGGAAACTTAACAACCTCAGTGTGACATTTGTGACATTATAAATGTCAACGTTGCGATAGGAAGATAGAAATGGGATAGGATCTGAATTGTAGTTTGTCTGAAGACTGGTAAAACCAGTACCTTCTGGAGTTGGCCCCAGAGCTTTGCCATGTAGTCCTAACAGGGCATATTCACTTTCAAACCAGACAGTGACCTCCTACCTTGGACATCATTACTCTGTGGTAGGAGACTGCACCTTGTAACCACTTTAGCAAGGAGCTGGCTGCACTGTTCCCACCAGTTTTCCTCTCCATGTTTTCTGCTGTAAAGGATGGCTTCTGCAGATACTTTTCCAGGACACCCAGGGTAGTCTCTGACAGCTACAGAAAATGACACCAGCATTTCGTCATAGTCCAACCACAAGTGTATTGGTTATCCTCTGCTATTACGGTTATTTTTGTGTTTTTAAATCTTGCCAGATATTCATTAGCATTCCCCCTTTAAAATATACATTATTGCATATCATTATCATTGCTAATTATTACTGTACTGTATATCATTAATACGTATTGATGATTGTTGAAGTAATAGATATTACTTCATCATGATTTTCTGCTCCCTCATTTTAGTCTTAAAGGGATTGTTAAAAGCAAAAATATATGAGAAATTCTGAAGATGGATATGACATGGGTTTGCATTAAAACGTACATATTAACAAAACGGATTCAAATTCAAAGACAGGAGTGGGGATGATATTAAAGTACATATCAATTACATAGGGCAATGTTGTATAAACCCTGTGATAGTCCTAGGATGCTGTCAGTCGTCAACTGAAGAGGCAGTGAATGATTATTTATTGTGGATTTAGTAGGATTAAGAAGTACTGAACGTTATCTTTTCTCCTTCAATTGTGCGCAGTAAAATGTGTCCTTTCTTTACATATTAATGTCTGTGTCACAAATCAAGGGTTATGGAAAATTCAAATGAAAAGACATTTTAGCCTGAGAGAATTTTTCAGGCTGTCTCGTTTGAAGAATCAGGAGCAGTAAATGAAGTACCCCTGCAACGACATGGTTAATTGACTTTCTGACGGTCTGCTCTCTCCTTCCAAGACAAACTCGGTGAATGCCAAGACAAGCAGAGACAAACAGCTCCTCTTTAGTACTGAACTCAGCTTTTTATCACTCTTTAACCTTTGGCATGTTAAGAGCCGTTCTTTCAGTAATAATCACTTCACTCTGCACTTTCATTTCCAGACACGTGTTTTCTTTTCTGTTATAAAGTATTGATGAAGACGAGGGGGGGGGTAAGGAAAATAGCAAAAGGACAAACTTCCGGCAAAAAGTCATGAAGCTTACTTGAATTTCATCGAAAGTACTGAGCTCATCCAGGAAGCGTTCCAGGTTGGCCATCTGTCGCTTGGCTCCTTTTGACCAAGTCAGATCAGCAGTTGGAGATTTCAGGATTGCGATTATTGATGCCATCAAGTCTTCCGTATCCACATCTGGTTGTTGCATCGCACGCAACTCTCCTGAAAGAACATCGAAATGGAGGACATGTGTCTGTGCTCTGCGATGACCGAGAACGGACATTTGGACTTTATTAGCACCATTACTGCTATTTAAAATAGCATCTTCAAAAATCAAAGAGCTGATTGACTAAGATTACAGTAAATAAAGAATAATCAGGAAAAGCTTTTAAAGTATAAAGTATGAAGTGCTTTTCAAAGATCTGTCTTAATAAAGTGCGTGTACAGCTGTAAGCTGGGTTTAGTCACTACAAAGTCTGATAAAGCTACACGTGAATTCTATTGGGAACAGGTAAAGGTTTGTTGCTTACTGAAAGGAAAAGAAAAGAGACAACATTTTGTTGCCCACGCACGCTGACGCAGCACCCTACGTGAATTCTGTTCAACATTTCTGGGAGGGTTGTAAATGGTCACCTCAAACTAGAGTACCATTCCTGTTCGTGGTGGTGCTAGAATTGATGATATAGTGATACTTTGTGTTCCATAATTGGATCTAGGGACATGTATGTTCATATGTAGTTTTTTTTCCTTTCTTGAAGCAGCAAATGTTCACAGTCCATTGAACTGAACTTACTTGAAAATGACCCAGCTATTTAAATTAGGTTAAAAATGGGTATTAATCTCATACAAAAACAAAGAGGTCTTATATGGGTAGTGTTGATAAAAACAGCACGTTTTATGCCACAGCAGTAACTTACCTAAGGCCTCAATGTCTATCTCTCCGACCAGCTTCTTTATATCAGATGCCATAGCTGTACACTTATAGACAGACCTGGCATGAGCCAGCTGATATTCTGGAAGAAGCCTCTGGAGCTTCTCGATTCTTCCCATCTGCTCACGAACTGTCCGGACCTGCTGTTCGGCCACGGCCCTGTCCTGACCGATCTGGGTCAGTATCTGCTTTGCTCCTTTTTTGTGCTCTTCCAGAATGACCTCCGCCTGCTGGCTGGCCTTCCTCAGCCCTGCGGAAGCCTTCAAGACGCCATCGATGTTCCCGAGGGTCTCCTCGATACGTCGGTGTTCGGCCACCAGCTCGGCGTGCCTCCTGTCGAACAGCCTCACAAACGTGCGGGCGAAGCTCTCGTAGGTGCTGTTTGTGAGGTGGCCAAATCTGCCCATACCTTTGCCACGGCCATCACTCTTACCAACAGCCAGGTGCATGGAGGCCAGTAGGTGGCAGATGTTCTCTCTCTCTTGGGCCGTTAACATCTTAAGGCGATCAACATGGTACAATGCGTGTTCAACTAGGCGAGACCTGAAAAAGCCAAGGAGGAGAAGGCAAACAGCTCGTTGCAGAAAGCCAAGAAAACAATGGCGCAGCCGCTACACAATTCGCATTTCATCAGCAGCATCACAAGCATCTACTTGCTGATGGAAATAGGCCAGTGTGATTCATCATTATGTTGTAGTGCTACCGTCGTACTGCAGTGTCATTCAGCTGTGCTGGGTTTTAGATTAAACCATTTATTTGCGACTCAAAATTCACTGATCCTAACCCCAGTGTTTGATTCTTTCGAGGCTGCAGACTAGCATTAGATCTTGTGCCTCACTATTGAATTTAGGGGGTGTGAACCATTTCATACTGGAAGAAACCACCACTTAAATGCAAAAAGTATTTTAAATTACTTCAGATATTCTGTAATCAGTCGAAATGTATTACAGAATATCTGAATTAAAACAGAAATACTCCAATATTAATCTTTACCAGAAGGTAGTGAAGAATAATACACTAAGAGCTCCATTCAGCTTTGATTTTCCTCAGCCATAAATGAAAGAATTTGATTTAAATTGCAGTATATTTTAGTCAGAAGCAAGGGATAATAGTGAATAGTTTATTGTACCTTGACCAGTGTGGCACAAAATAAATATTGACAGTATTAGTAAATATTGGAAACTCCTGGCAATTCTGGGAAAAACTGCATCCCGTGGAAGGGCAAATTAACACACAACGGAGGTTTTGAGTGACACGTTGCACAAAAAACTCCAACACAGCCTCTTTGGTGGAGCTTATATTTTCAGTCAGTGCCTAAAAAATAGAAAATAATGTCAATAACTGTCAGGCGAATACATCTCTGCTTCATACATTCCATATACAGAATGTAAATATTTTAAAAAGAAAAAGCTGTGGACCGTACTTCTGTATGAAAAGATGTGAACTGCTTTAAGATTTGCTTGGGTCACAGGCTTGATGTTGGGATTTGCACAATATTTAAAATTCATTAAATAATTCTGCACAGATAGATAATACGTCAAACAATGTGAAAATAAAACGTATACAGCTGCAGCAGTCATGGAAGAACACAATGATTAAACAGACTGCTGGTTTCAGCAAAATCGGGGGATCTGTGTGACTGTAATTGGGCAAACAGATTGTTGTTCTTTTCCTGTGTTCTTTCATTGATTTTCTGGGGTGAGCCATTAAGACTGAGGTGAGATTTAGGACCAAGACTCTTTGTACCGTCGAGCTGTCATTACCTCACTGCGAACTTCGTTAATTATGCTGCTTAGCTGCTCTGATGAAAACAGGTGAGTTATTGACCCAGGAACTACAAGATGTGTGAAGTAAACCATTGTAGCCTTATCCAAGCGCTCCTCGTTCATCAGGCACAGCACTTTCTTCCCCTGGGAAAGGAACAAAAGATAAATTAGCAAATTGACAAAACTGACAGGTTTACAGGTACCAGTTACATATATTTCTTACCGTTTTTAAGTGAACATCCACTAGAAATACCATATGGTGTGGAACTCCATTACAACTACATTGTCTATTTTTCCCCCCACTCCTATCTGGAGTGTCAAGGGGTCATTTATTGATAAACAGTGCCATCTGCTGGCTTAAGTACCTTTTCTAAATTTTAATGCAAGACACGGTTGAGCCACAGCTACAAGATTAGATTAAAAATTAATGCTAAAGCTTTGTCTTAAGCCTCAGAGCTCATTTTTAATTTAAACCCACCTGCTAAGTTTTACTTTACACTCGTGTCTTAGCTATCTGACAAATCTTTTCTTATGCTTGTCGTGGGAAATCTAAATGCTGAAGTATTCACAATAAAAGGAGTCGAAACAACTCAAAATACTTTGTCATGTAATTTTTAGATTGTAGTGCATGAGCGCAGAAAACAAAAATGGTAACTCTCAGGATTGTAGAGTGCTACCTTATTCAGAAAAAAAACATTTTCTTATTACTTACTGCATTTAAGAGTTTTTAATGCACTGTAAACCCCTTTGCAACAGTTAAACGGTGTAATGATTTTAAATATAAATGCAATTACAGCGGTTTATTGGGATAAATGTAACAGGAAAAAAATGAGATCTGTTCGTAATTTAAACTGTGACAAAGCAAAAGAAAAATTAAATGCTCCGTGCCATCACTTTATCCCTACCATTATTCCCAACTAAGAACTATTAGAAGCCATTCACAATAATGAGCCTTGACAATTATAAGGTTAATAAAGAAAAATCTTGACAGCCTTTATTGATATGGCATGGAATTAAATGATTAACTATCTAATTAAAATTAAGAACCTTGAAGTGCAATTAGTCGTGAAATGAACTGACCTTCACAACTAAAATGTGGCATGATACACTTTTACATTCATTTCATCAGTGACAGGAACAGCCAGCTGAGCCAATCTTTCCGTTTGTGACAGAGCTTTACATTCTGACAGAACTTTTCATTTTTCATGTTTTACCTTTAAGCATCATAATGTTACAAAGCACCCAAACATGTTGCAAACCTAGTATAGACATATGGTGTTAATTTAACCAACAACGATAATTGAGGTGCACTGTATCACACTTTTTATACCTAACTACCTCAAACCTGACACTAGCTATCTTTACGAAGCAGAGGCATAGCATCTGTTTATGAAAGAGAAGATGTACATATTTAATTGATTGAGCAATATGGAGTTCATTATGGGCCTCCTTTAGGTTACCACACTAAACTGCCTCATAAATCTGGTATGCCTGGCAGAATATAGCATTCCCTTACTCCCAACAGAAAAACCTAGAATCAAGAGAAATGAATTAACAGATTCCTGTGTAGGAATGGGTGTCTACATTTTTCTTCAACACCTGATGGTGAACTGGGGCTGACCATTGCCTGCTCAGTCTCCAAGACTTGAGGAATGTGAGCATGACCTGCAGCCGTCTTTGAAATAAAATATTTTGCAAACCGACCATGAATACATTACTTAATTAAACAAAATGGTCCTTAAGCAAGCTTTTGAATAAAGTATGAGATCATTTCCCAAGTAGACTGCAGGAACCCATTTACAAAAGGCACCCTGTTGATAGCAGTTTCTGCCGTATATTTTATTAAACCATAAATTATCTTAAGGAAAAAAGGGAACAGCTTGGGATGGATGTGAACTATAATGCTTCCCGAGACACAGTGATGGCTTTAACTTTCATTTTTGCAAATATGCTACCCATTGATACCCCATTTGACAATAAATGAGACATACCCTTATAACGCACTGTCTGATTTCAAGTTCAAGTCTATTGTCATTATACTCATATACACGTATATGGTATAACGAAATGCTATTTAGCTAGCTCTCGGACTATGAGTAGCACAAAGAAAAAAAACAATACAATTGTATAACAGAAGAAAGACCGAGACAACAGGCAATGTGCAAAACAACAAAAAGGTAACAGGTAAGTTGCAAAAACAACATCAGATGTGCAAAAACATGCATCAACAGAATGAAATAAAGGGATAGAAATTATGAGGAGTGAGCTTCTTGACATGTGAGGTAGAGGTAGATTTCAATGTGTGTTTGAGTTTTTGGTAAGAAAGAAGGCACTGTGAGGTTCAGATCATAGGTGAGAGGGGCTGGGAGTTTAATAGTTTGATAATGGGAGTTACACACATATTATTAAATATGTTAAGGCAAAAGATTATATGTATCTTAGAACTTCAATATAAGTAACGCTAATGGGGCAGATCTAAAACAATCCACAGATACCATGAAAAGCCAATGGACGAATGGATTCCTCCTTTTACAAAAACATGGTAGCAGCCCTGGAATTGGGAGGGCAAAATCAAGTACAAGCATACTGCTAAATTCTAAAGGACTGTCCTCAAAAACATAACACATTTACCTGGATCCCTGCTTGAACACAGCAATCAACCAGCTGTGATTTAAAGGAGTCGATGGACTGGGCATCCCTGCTAAAGGAGTGTATCCGAACAATAGAAAACCCACATAAATGGGCAGCAAGTTTTGTCACAGGTATAGCCATCCCAGGACACCCTTCACCGCAGAGCAGGGTGTGGGCAACCTCATGTGGACTCAGGAGGTTACGGGTCAGACGGCACACTAATTCCATTGTGCTCTACAAATAAAGCAAAGTTAGAGAAAGCCTTGAAACATTTGGTCAGTCTCGTTTGTGCATAAAAATGATATACTCTGTGTTAAGGTCCAATTCAGTTAATAATACTGAACATACAATGTGATCAATTAAATTAGTTGCTATTCATTTGTGATTATTGTCAAGACCAATGCGATATAAAGGGAAAAAACCAACAGGATTATAAAGAACTTTAAGGAAGGGGTAACTTTAAGAATGAACCAATGCACCTCAAAAGCAATAAAATAAAACCTCCTAATTATCCACGACAAGCTGTACTCAGCTGCTGAAAGATTGTTTTTTTAATTGCTAAAATAGTACGTTTTGCCATTTCTTAAATCACTTGGAAGCATGACTTTTACTGAAAAATACTCAACAAAAGAAAAATGCATATTCTTCTTCTCAATGATGCAGAATAAAGAAAAGCTTCAATGCTTCTCCGTCATGTGTCGCTTGCATTTTGTCAATGATCTCTTGAAAATTACCAATTCATGGGTAGTGTTGAAATACGGCTTGCATTTCGTTGGAACGAAGTGTGAGCTCACTATCAATTACATTGAAAGGAATGCCTTACCCTGTAAAAGGAAATAGCTATCCTGGGATTAGTCTTGTTATGCTCTTGCACTGATTCCTCAAGCAATTTCCGAACAAGGTCTTCATCAAAGTTGTGCCGATAGCCATCACCACTCATATCTTGGTTTGACAGCTTCATTTGATTTCCTGATCTCAGCTGCCATTGAGTGGGGCTAGCTGTGACCAGCCCCCCTTCAAGATTAATGACATTGCTAAACAATGGCTGCGTTGGGCTAGTGATTAATTCGACCTGTGATGGACAGAGACAAGGACACTGTAAGCCTTCTTTAAGAATTTACAAAGACCAGCAGGTGACGGTTATCAATGCAGGATGCAAGTCCAACACAAAAAAACGCCTCTATTTGAAAAGGATAGGTCATCTTGGTCTCATCAATAATCTATTATCCTCTAAACGTACATTTCAATACATACAAGTTAATCTCTCAGTGTCCTTTATCAATAAACCCTGTTTCACGACTGTTGAATCTTAAATCTTGAATCTCACTGTCTGCATTTCTAAATATTGAGAACGTCAGAGAGCAAAGGACTGTATCCTGACTTTTATTACATTGTTAATTTATTACATTACATTTTTTTCCAGTTTTACTGGGTGGTTAATGTCACCCAAAATAGAAAGAACAAAAGCAAATTACATTACTTACATACTGTATATAGTAAACTGTATAATATATCTCAGAACATTAAGGTTTGTCATCCACTGTTACCTGCTCATTATCAGCAAACACTTTCTTGACTGCTACATTGAATTCCTGCTTGTAGCGAGCGTAATCCACATAACTGGCCAGTCTGTGACCATACACCCAATCACACTCATGTCTCCACAAGTAGAGGAGGGCTTTAGATGAACCGTTCATATTCAGAGACAAACAGAGGTTCCTAAATATAAAGAGAAGCGTGAACAGTAGAAGCAGTAACAGAGTTCTTGCAGAACCTCATCCACTAAAGAAGCCTTCAAAATACCACAACCATAATTCTTGTACATAAAAATTACATTAAAATATTACAAACTTTGTACAAAGTGTGTTTTTTAGTTATGTTAACATTAGCAGTAGAGCCATATTGTACGACACAGACACAAGGTGTAATAACATTTTATCATCAATTACTGTTGCTCTTTAGTTGCTCAGGACTGGAATTATTTACCGCTGTGCCTAGTACCTACATTCTGCAAGTGAATTGCTATAGGACTTAAGAGACTAGAGACTTAATTTATAGCCTACAGCATCAGGATTTTCCCACTCAAATTTCATGTCATTATACAAATACTTTATATTTATTCTCTTGCTGCACAAATAAACAGCTGAAGCACTTCTTTATGGCTCATTATAGTGACATTGGGTTTTTCTTTTACTTTAAGCTACACTAGATATGTGTTTCACTGCTAAATGAAGTATTCAAAGACTGAAAGTCTTTTGAAAGCACGAGTCACAGTCTAAGCACTGTAAAAACTCCCTGTTATTTTCTCCTTTTAATACATTTCCATCATGCATTCGCTTGAGTGCTGCCTGCTGCATAGAGCTCAGCATCAGCCATAAATCCTTTCTCTCTGCATTGAGCCTGTTTGTATTCCCATGCAATAATAGACTGCATTGCCAAGATCCTTGACTGGAAACATTTTCTTGAATGGCAGCAAGAGAACAAGGAAACTGTGAGGTACTGTATGGGGAACCACTATAAAATATACATGTATATAAAGTCAGCTACAAATACTATTCCTCAGAAAGCCAATACATTATTTTCTGTCTGATGGATTTTACAGCATCAGCATTCAGGGCCTTTAAACCAGTCTTATAAGAAAATGGCAGCCCCTGACAGCTCATTGCTTGGTGGTGCGACTAAAAAGAGTCACGCCGAAAGACTTAACCACCTTCTATTCACTGTCCTGTCTCTTCCTACTGCCCGCCACCGAGTCTGCATTCAAAGCAATTTCATTGTTATTACGATGTTAATGTCTCCCCTTGTCATAATGCAATAGGCTGATGGCCAAGGGGTCTGGGATTAAAACTATAAAAGCACAAATGTTGAGGAAAAAAACGAATTTACAGAGTGAAATATTATTCTGGCCTTCTTTACCTGAATATTTTTGCCAGGTCCCTGAGAGTGAATATGTAGTGGCCCCTCTGGGATATTCTCAGGAACATGGTTCTCAGGCGGTCTTGTGTTTCTACAGTAACGAGGGTGACAGCTGACAGTAGCTCTCTGTGGACAGGATCAGCTGAGGCGGTGAAGTTGTCCTTCTAAAGGAATCAACAAGACAGTGGCAAATCACTAACATTCCCTTCCTGTTGTCATTAACGTGGTCTCAAAGAAGATTGCTACTAAAAGCCCATCGCATCAATGTCCTGAATGGCTCAGGTATGAAAGTCTATGAAAGTGCTACTGCACTTCGAGATGGACTCAACGTTGCAGGAAAGAAACCAATTCAAAAGACTCACACAAATATAGTATTCTTTATTGACAGCACATATATGGCTGGAACACAGTAGATAGACATAAATGGTGAAAACTGCAAACGTTTAGTCTCATTGTGGTTATCCATAAAAAGCAAATTAATTTTGCCTTTTTTTTTTAAACTGTTTCCTTTTCCTACACTTTCACAGAGTGAGTCCATCTCCATGTGAGTGCAATATTTTTTTGGAATATGCCTTTACAGTCACGCAGTATCCCTAAAGGTCAAAACAGCAGCCTGGGAGAAACCTGAGCGTTTTCTTAATAAAAAAAGACCAGTGATATTAATGAGCACAGAATTTGCTTTCAGTGGTGCAAGCAAGTCCAGTCACAGGGACATGAAAATTAAAAAAAATTGATGACCTACAGTATAAAAGACATAACCTTCTGAGTTTTTTGTAAAATAAATAAAACAAAGTAACAGATCCTAGTGATGAATTAAAGAGCTATGTAAAACACATTAGTAAAATAACAATGCTGAAAAAGGCTTTTAAAACATACACTGTTTAGATTCATTTAAAGCTACTACAGTAAGTATTTGTTCAGGTCTAACAGACTCCTCTAGCCTTCCCTCAGATTACAGAGGTATGGATAAATCACAATTCACAACAGGCTTCTTACCTTCAGTGCGGGTGAGGACTGAAGAAAATAGGAATTCAACAGAGTACTAAAAATTCTGTATTGATCATCACAACTGTAAGAAAGCAGGAAGAATGAGTAGAAACCTCAATGCCGTACATTACTGCATACTAACATACTTCAAACCAGATTACATGTGAAGTCACTCGTGAAAGGGTTTCCTTCATACACTTCCCCACAGGAGTTTTCCACTTCTTCCATGGTTTTCTCATAGTTGCAACATAACTTCCCAGTTCTTTATTACGCTGGACCATGAGAATACCGCAGTGTGCTTTTGGTAAACAAAACATTTGACTGGAAAGAAAATCTGGGCATTAAAACAGTTGCAAAGGGAACAAGAAATAATTAGCATGAGAAAATAAAATGACTTAAAGCTCTTGCTTGCAGCTAGAGGTCATCTATTGGCCCAGATGTCACACCTTCGGGCCTAGGTCATGTCACTAGTCGACTGTGACTCCTCAGGTAGGGGAATAAATGGATCTTAATTGCCCAAAGTCCTCTCAGCTCTCAGTGAAAGCAGCAACTCCTACAACTTGCTGGCAAGCATGTGACATCTGTGATAGGCCTGCCTCTCTTCAAATTGCCGCTAACTCAGCCGTAAGGCACTGTGGAGTTTGAAGGTGTTGGAAGACTAGTGGGTCTGATAGGCAGTCATGTTGCACGAGCTGGTCTGCACATCTTTTATTTGTCTCCGTACAGCGACAGGACTCAATGCTGGAAAGCCAGATCTTAAACAGGCAGCGATTCTGAAATGGGCGAGTTTATAACGGGCAATTGCTAAATTGAGAAAAATAATCATTCTTACATGGAGGAAAAATAAAGATTGCGAACTAAGTGAAATGGGCACCAGGAGGCGAGGTAGTTATACCAGATGCTTGGGGAAACTAAAATTTTAAGTGGAGGCTAATGTGAAGCACAGGGGTCTTTGCAGCAGCAATAAAAGTCAGAGTAAATTGCCCAGCAAATGTGAGAAGAAAACAGACTAAATTCCTGATGCTATGAACCCTGACAAAGGAGCCGACAGGCTCGCTGCATGCTGGGGCCTGGCAGATGTGTGCACCTTGGGTAGGAGCAGCGGAAGACGGCGAAGTGTCTCAGCAGGCGCGGGCTGCTCGGGCAGCTCGTGTTGACGGTGGCCAGGAAGGCGACGTTCTTCACTGTCCTCCACTCAAAGGAAACTGGGTCAAAGCCACCCCCACAGTCAAGCAGCTGTCGCATCAACTCACAAGCTGGCTGGCTGCCGTGCCCATCAACCTGGAACAGGAAGCAGGGAGCGCTAGAATGGATAAGTATCAAGTCTGGAGAGAGGAGAGGAGCATCACTTCAGCTTGCGAATAATTAATAATTTACAGACATGGGAAGTCTCTGCCCAGTTGGGTGGGGGGGAGGGGGGGGACATAATTAATTACACAGACCCAGGTTCTCAGAACAATTTATATCTTGTCCAGACAGTCTTCAGGAAAGGTTATTGTCTTAGGTGTGACTGAGAAATTAAAATCATTTTCAAACCCTCCTGAATCTCCTTTTATATGGTATTTTCTGCATTCAAGATATTCAATTAGCATTTGCTTCTTGTAATATTTCAGGAATTTATCCAGATTTTCTAAACATGGGTGTTAATAAAAGTTGGAGAGTTTTTAGTAGTCATTTATTGACCAGATGGGTGCAGCTTCAAAAAATGTTTCCTGGCTAAAACAAACATACAGGGAAAGTGCATGACGTTGTTCAGTTTTCTATTTGAAATCCTCTACTCCCTGATTTATGCTCTGTTTTATGACCTTCTACATTAATTCCAGATTTCTATGGTTTTCAAATTAGTGTCTCCCAGTGGATTAAGTATATTTTAATTCCCTGCTAATAAAGGGGTCCGTGCAAGTTTCATCTGTTGATATTAAAGCAATAAAAAAGAAACCTTCATTATTCAAAGATCTGCAGGCTTATGTTGAAATCATTTGAGTAATACAGGCCTAATTAAAAAAAAATAGAAGCCTTTACTTAACCTTTAACATTATTAAATGAAAATGTTAACTTATATAAGTCATTATGTAAAAACACAAAAAGAAACATTAAAATAATATTGCATTAAATTCATGGTTACTTAATAATCTTCCAGATTACACCGATTAATTCTTTATTAAGCAATAAATTAAATAGCTTTATATTTATATTTTCATTGCTGAGCTAGTAACCTTGTATGTTTCTGCAGCACCTGTCGTCATTCCTGGTTATGAATAGTTTGGAGTTGGGTTATTTTAAAAGAAACAATAATATTAAAACATTCCAGAAGCAACATTTTTATATAAATTACTTAAAACTGTAGTCATTAAACCACTCCCGTACCCTTATTTTACACAATTATGTCAACTTTTAAAAAAGTAGAAAAGTATACCCTACTGTACATGATATACAGTATATGAATGGGAAATTTTTTTTTCAACTTTTCACATGAAAACATTTCACATGAAATAATACTTAATTTTGATGATCAAGTGCAATGAATTTGAATGGTTGATGTTTTTTATACTCTGGAAACGAACAGTTCCTCTCTAGCACTTATCAGAATTGATATGAAATTATGAAGGTATCTCTTGATATTTTACATTTTGTTATGTGTGATCCTTTACTTAACCAGATAATTTCTCCTTGTCCACATGGGACCGCTTGCATGGAAAATAACATTCGGAAGGTCATGCGATAATATTAACAATAAGGTTAAACCTGAATATCAATACATTGATAGCAGATGTAAAGGAACACTGGGAAAGAGCATGCACAACACTTTAATTCATATCATTTTCATCCTACAGACCTTAAAGACATTACATCCAAAACTTAGGAGGATGATGATGATGATGATGAGAAAAGGCCATGGCAGGACATTCAGGAATAACAGACAGAGTTTTAATCGCATTGACCCGAGTCAACATCGTTACCTGTGCCGAATTGAGGTCGTCCACAAAGCACATCAGCTTCTTCTTTCTAAAAGGGGTGTACAGTGTCCCATACTGCCATTCCAGTTTATCAAAGAGGCTTCCCCAGAGCATCCTGGAGCTGGTGGACCTACACATCCGTGAGAAATACAGTATGTTACAACGCATCACACCACGCAGAGTGCAACTCAAACAAGTAAGGTTTAGAAAGCATTCAATAAAATATATAAAGTACATTATATTGTTAAAATAATTTACATATTTATTACAGTATATCATACCTTCGTGTACTTAGGAAAATGATTTAAACTCAGAATGGCCTAAATTAGACATCAGTACATGCTTACAGATTACCATGGTAAATCGCTTATTTACCATGGTAAATCGATTCTTTGATATCACTTTATTTGATGTATTGTTTTTTGTTTTCATTTAAAACATCAAGCAATAATCCCAATTCAGGGATTATCTTTTCTTGGGTTACCTTTCTTGAGTCATAAGATAAGGAACAGAGCCTAACGGCTGAGCACATCACAGTAAAACCAGTGATTTCCAGCAATGTAACAAATCAATCTTTGCTTTAAGAGGCATATTAGCTTGTTATTCTAGGTATTTGTAAAATGTGAAAGTATGGATTTCATTTCCACCTTTCCAGTTGCTGCGGGTATTTTAAAAAGCATTATCCAGTAAACAACAATATCAGTGTTGGATAGGAGGCTTAACAAAATCAATGTAATGAAGATCAATATACTCAATCAATGGCTACCTGTTCACATGGATCTTCAGCTTCAGTACTTCCACCACATCCCCTGAGAAATGGGCCTGCATGTATTCATTCAGAACTGCGCTTTTTCCACAGCCTGTCTCTCCTGCAAGCACTACGGGATGGCCAGCATCTGACAGGAGGTTCGTCAAATAGAAAAGTTGCTGCAGGGAAAATTAAAAAAAAAAATCAATATAAAAACATGAATGCACACCAGTGTTTAGATCAAATGCAATTTGTGCTCTATATGATCGGCGAAGCAGAGCCTCTGCAATCAGAACTAAGACTCCAGAGCAAGACAAATCAAAATCCTATTCACGCAAGATATGTCAGTGTATCTGAGCTTCAGACAAGAAGATAGGCTTTTGTCTTGAACCATCTAACAGCTGCAAAATCACTAGAAAGCAATCCACAGAGTTTAGAGAGTTCATCATTGCAATGCAACATTTACCTCGCTTTCAATGGTGTGGACAAATGCCTGTGATGAAATTCCCTGGCCACAGGGAAAGGACTGAGGGGGGACATTGTCACTCCATCTCACAAACTGACACGTCTCAGTGTCAATGTAATAGTCCCAGATCTGCATAAGAAAACAGTGCCAGATGCAAGCAACAACATTCTATTAAATATCTGCCCTGTCAACATGCCATATTATAAGGGACTGCTAGAAATGTCTGAATATAGTGCCCTTTTCAATAACCCATTCTGCTGACAGAGATGCATTTTTTGTGTAACAGGAAAGTGCAGGCTGAAATGAAAGAGATTTGATCAGGATGCACTTGAGTGGCAATACGTCGCAGCTTTATTGCTTGTATTACCAACAGAGAGCTGTAAAATTAATATTTATATGAAATTATATATAAGAGTGATACAAAGAGCCAACTATAGGTGATGGTTAGACATCACAGCCCAAGAGAAAACTTTAACTGTCTTAGCGAATGCAATTTTCTGCAAGGCTTGTTTTTATTTGCTTTGATTTTCCGGGCCTCCTAAGAAAAGTTTGTTTAAACGAATACCATGACCTTGACTTTTTAACACATATATTGATCTTAGACTCCTAAATGCCATGTTCATTTAACTGCATATGAGTTTTTCATTCTATATGTAAATGAAAGTTTTTTAACAGTTCACCAAATACATACATTCAGCACAATCGATAATAATTTGTTTCACGCCTGACTGAAAACAACAGAAGAGAAATATTGCTTCAAAGATGTCACACCAATGTGGAACATATGTATAAATCCACAAGTAGACCCACCAGTCTGATGCAAGAATCATGACACCTGGACTATTGTACAGAAAGAGCAGATTTTGGGTTAAAGTTTTAAATACTTGTATGCACAAATATCAAGACCAGATAAACACAATTTTCTCGCATGACCTTGTCCAGGGATTGGCAACATTTCAGGAGCTTTCCTGTTCATAAAAACAGACAGGCCCCACTTAGCATTACATCGTAGTTTTTATAATTTCTCCCACTTTGTTTCTTCTGTGATACTGAGACTTTCCAATGCCAGCTCCTGCGCTTGTGCACTGTGCGGCTCTGCCTGGATTTGCGCAGACAGCACCACCCCCTAGACACCAGACTGCGCTGCCGCTCAAAGAGCAGGGCCTCTACTGCAGCGGTCTTGCGCTGCCTAGCTTGCAGACAGTTGGTGACATCACTCCCGTACCTGGCTCAGTGCGTGAGCCCTGTTGCGCTAGTCAAGCTCAGGCAAGCAGCTATGGAATAATAAGGCGAGGAAAATTCGTGAAGCTGTACCTGATGTTCTTCAGGAATAACGCAGCTATTTCTGAACCGTTCTCGCCACCAAAGGTCGAATGCAGCTTTGTGTTCAGACTCTAGAGTGCCCCCGAAGGCCCAGACACATGAAAAAAGAAAACACTTCTTCACATCTTCAGGAGGTATTTCAACACTCCACAGCCCCAGAGCCTAGCAGGGAACAAACCAATGGAGAAAATCTTTGGTAAACAGCTTTCTTAGCAGGTTGTATTATGCCTGATTAATGTTATTGAATACACCGTAATATCGACTTAATGGAAACCATAATTTAACATTCATGTATTGGGTTACCTCATGACTACCACATTATTTGCTAATAGTAGTGTGCAAATGTAGACCTTTTGGTTGTATTCCACTCATAAATATTTTAATTTTTTATGTTGCAATTCCACAGCTTTTGTATAATGAATAAAATACTGAAAGAGAAGAGTTAAGGTGAATCAAAACCACCAACCTCAAATATGCGACAGAAGGTTTGAACCCTGTTTTCGACACAAATGCTAGTTGCACATATGGATGCTGTAAGGTCCTTATCTGCAGAAGAGTTCGTCCTCATCCATGTGACAACAGGATCTGAAATGAAATGAAAAGGCAGACCTTTGTAAGAAGCAACAGATTAAGAAGATTCTTTGTGCCCGTTTGGAAGTGCCACTACAGATGTGGCACAGAAAGAAAGCAGCATGGTGGTGCAGTACTTAGCATTGCTGCCTTGCAGCACTGAGGCCCTGGATTCAATTCCAGACATGAGGTGCTATGTGCATGGAGGTTCTACATTGTCCTTATGTTTGTGTGAGCTTCCTCCAGGTGTTCTGGTTTGCTCTCTTAGTACAAAAACATACTGGTAGGTTAACTGGCTTTTGGGAAAATTGGCCCTGGTATGAGTGTGCACGCCCTGCGATGGACTGGTGTCCCATCCAGGGCATACCCTGCCTTATACCTGTTGCTCGTTTGGCTAGGCTATGGCTCCCCTTGAAACCCTAAAATGGAAGAAACTGTAAGAAAATAGATGGATGGATAGCACAAAAAGATTGGTGAGAAGCAAATGGATCCTCTCACTCTTAGCCTTAAAACAAATATATGTTATAGATACTCTGGGACTCTTTGAAGAGCTTCCTCCTAGTTTATTTAACAGTTATTAATGTACATCTATTTAAACTGCCCTGGAGTGCCCATTGAAACCTAGCATTCACAAGCAGAAGCAAGATCATCGAGAAACAACTGCTTCAACGGTACAGCAAGTACACAAGAGATAAACACTGAAATGTGATGCAGAATATTGTCTCTGATGTTCACCTAACAGTCTGACCAGAACAAATCTAAGAAAACAAGATGATCAGTTCAGTTTTTGTATTTTATTAAGGGCTAATTAAGGATTATATCATCTTGCCGGAAAGATTTCCGGTTTAATTTAAGAAAAAATAGTTGAGCTACAGCCAAAGCTCCTGTGTGGAATGCTCAAATTCTCCAAAGAGCCGGCACTATTTCTCGGATCTCCACCAGCAAAAGAAATTGCTCACACAAAAATATCTCTTTCAATTTCTTGTCAATGTAAGCTCCCTCCCTGGGAAAGACGGTTGTCATCTTGATCTACAGCCCCTAGCCAGCACAGTAATGTACGCTAAATTGCCTGAGTCGCTCGCAATGATGGAGTCATTGTGGAGGAAATTGGAAATCAATTCTTGTCATCACTGAACATAACTCTTTTATCAGAGCTACAGTTCATGGAGTGTAATGCGAGTGACAGGAGCTTAGAGATGACAATCATGATAGCTCCCTGACGGCATGGTGTGGGGGCGGGGATTTACAAAACACAGAAATTCATTCATTTACAAACAGATGTGGTTTTTACTAGCCACTTAATGCTCAGTACTGATACTGCCATTAGTAGACACAGAGGGAGAAGAAGGAAGTGCAGCACATTTGTGTATAATGAAAAACAAAGAAAATGCAGCTCATGGTTTGTGTAGATACGTGACAAAACTCATATCCACAAAGAGGAATTGAGTACAGTGAGTGTGAGCCTGGCCTGCAATTTATGTTATGCTGTGAAGAGGTTAAGTGAAAAATCAGAAATACAAAACAACTCCCCAGAGGTTTCCTCACATCGCCTTTGATTTTGAACTAATCATAAATACCATAGTTAGTCTATTTTCACATGCTATATTCATTACCATGATGGTCCTCTCTGTCCGATCTCAACTCCCTAAACTTCAAGTATTATTTAAAAACTTATCATGTAATATTTAAAAATTGATTGAAGCTTTCACTACCAAGTTCTGACATTCTGATAGAGTATGAGATTTTTTTCAGGAGTTCTCAATGAGCCTCTTATCAAGTTTAAACAAAGAAAGTAGCAGGCTTATTTTGCACTTTAGCTGTGAAACAATAAGTGAACCATGTAACAACCAGAAGATTTGTTGATTTGCGGTAGCGTAAAATTATATTTTGGTGTGTTTTACTTCTTACAAGAAACCAGAATTATATTTCATGGTTAACTGAAACACAATTTCTTAGTTTAGCCATAGGGATTTTACTAATCCAGATAAGCTCCTTACCCAAGAACTCTTCAGTGAGTTGCTGGAGGAGATGCCTGTGAGTTGTGGGGTGAGCCAGCAGCCATTTAGAGAGACACAGCTTCCAGCTTTCAGTATCGGTGGGAATGTTCAGGATCCCCATGCAGCAGATAACCGCAGGACTGACATTCTCTAAAGATGCAAGCTGAGGAAATACAAGAGCAGGAAATGTACAACAGCAAAATACATTGTGGTCTTAAATACCCTTGTGGCTCAACTACTATAATAGAAAACGAATGTTACCAGCATTAATATTAATGGTATTAAGAATGCTTCTCCCCCCCACCCACCCCCCATTTTAAATGTTTATTAAGTTGAAATAACTTAAGAAAGATGTATTTGGGCTTCTTCAGAGATGTACAGCTTTAATGCTTTGAAGAACAAAATGTAACATTTCAATGGTTTAGATTTAGACTGGGACTGCAGAAGCTTTACAAAGTTGTGAAAAACTAAAAGCACAAATAATTTTCATATATAGTATTGCTCTCTTTCAGCGAAATAGCAAAGGCAGTTGGGTTTTTTTTCTTTTCAAATACCACTGCCTATAAGACTCAATCAATATAAGCAGGTTTGCATAGTTAAGAATTAGAATCAGCATTAACTCTAAAGGTCTATCCAGGACCTTTAATTTGTCTAGACCCCTTCACCTTTGGGGTTCCTAATCTGAAGTTCAATCAGTATCCTAGCTGCACGCACTCTAATCCCAGCATCCATTATAGGAAATGTGATTCATTTTACAATTAGAAAGAATTATAATGAGTTCATTAGTCCCAATCAATAAATTAATACAATTAAAGGAAAGCATAACAAAATTTCAAATAGAGACACGAACTACATCAAAAATCATTTCAATTGAGTGAACCAGTACAACAATACTGGTGTACTGTACACCGAGGGAAGTAACTTCTTTTATAAAACCTGCAATTTATCATTGGACAACACTCAATGGATAACAATAGGCTGTCACATAAAATCACTTAAACACACAAAAAGAAAGACTGAGAGTGACACTGCTAAGCGGGAGCCCTGTGTAAAGAAAATACAGAAAGGAAAAATGTTTGGCATGTCGGTAGGCTATAATTTACAGTTTGACACAGGCGTTGGTCTGCACTAATATTCCCACTGGAAAAAGACGGCAATCCGAAGATGCATTTCTCAGCAAACATGCAATGAACACTGGTCAGTTCCTACTGCAAGCCAAATGAGAAAGGAGTATTCACTACAGAGAGCTGATGTGAACAGAAGCAAACTTAAATAACAGATTAAAGCACCTGAGAGCGAATCTGCAGCTCCTGGTGAAACTAGAGGTATAAAAGATCACTGCTTTACTGCTTTAAAATGTGTGCTTTACACATTTAATTTGTCTTACAAGGACAATCAAGTACTGAGGAAGTGAGAATTATTCTTGCAGAATTTATCTGCACTCTGTGGAGTGTGAATTATTCCTCTGTGGCACAGAGTACTGTGAAATGTTTAAACATATTTGAAGGGGTTGTTATTGCTGTGACTGGATTGGTTTCAGATAATGAGTAAACCAGCTGACAATGATCAAATTTAACAGTAAAATATAAAGCACTGGATGCATTCTTTCAATGATCAGTAAGTGACATTTATGTTCTCCTTGTGAATTATATTCTTTTTATATACTCTACTGCAGCATATTTGTTTCTGTACTCAGTCCTGATTTCATTATTTTTTATCTCTACAAATCAAACTATTCTGCTATTACTTTGTAAGCATATTCCAAATGATCATTTTAATTAGCATATTGTCCTTGATATTGCTGAATAAAATGGGTGTAAGTGCCAACCCTCATATGCATGCCACTGTTAATCATAATTATGCAAGTATGTTGCAGCAAACAATAACTACTATAATTGAGATGATTAAGGTCCCTCAATGGGTCGATTGTAATTGGTAACTGTATATTGACCTCTTAGTGCCGATGTGAAAAATTCCAGGTCCTGCTTACAACCATCGAGGACTGCAAAGACAATCACGCCATTCGTTTATATGTTTTTTTATCCTTAGTCTGCGTTCCCATGACTTTACGCTGTCCTCATCTTGTTGTTCCCCACTATGAAGTTAATGTTCTCTGGTTCCAGCAGCTTTTCTACTGACATCTAATAGACGTTCACTTACAGTCTAGTGCAGCATCTGTTAAAACCAAGCCACAGCACCTTTCACGGACACACACAACCAACACCTATCAATGATGCTCACAACACAATGGCATTCAAGTGCGGAATTACTCCAGTCCAGTGAAACACTAAAAGACATTTAAAAACCCGTCACAACAGAAACATGTCCTGGAGGCATGTTTTGATGATAAAAAGGTTTCATTAAAAAACAAATCAAATGATGAGTGTGAAATACATATTCAAGTTATTTTTAAGCCAAACAATTAATGAAGAAATGAAGAAGAGAGAAAGAAATAGCATATATAACAAAATGTGAACATATAGAAAAGAACACTAAACCTCCAACATGAGCTAGGGAGCTTATAAAAGCTTCCACAAAAACAAGTAATATATTCCAAATACTAATTTACATGAATAAGCAGGGGGAATTTTAAAACATCTGAAATAAATATGGACCACTGCACAGAAATTATAGTTAAAACTGTCAAAATTCCCTGTTATTTCATTTAAATGCATTTCCCAGGAAGAGGCAATGGAATTGCAAACTATGGTCTTGTAGCCCAAAGCTGTGATTTACACAGTAAATAGAAAACAGGCACTTGAGAAATTAAAAAGAGGAAATAAATATTAACACATATACGTGTGTAATTTAAACAATAATGCTCTAGTGATGTATTACACTGCCATTCACTTTAATTATTATCTCGTTTTACTGCTCGACTACTAAAATGTATAGCCTCAGCGTTTTCTTGGGCAAGACTTTTTTTTAACGTATCCTCTGGCTATGTGCTCCATGGTGGGTTTTATTTACAAGCAATTTTAAATACAGTTTTCTGAAGAAAGCCAGCGTATGAAATATTGAGGCTAAGGTACTCAAAGAACTTATAAAACATAGCCTGCAAAAAGATAGGAAGACATAGCAATGCTCTGACCTACACTGTAGATCTTTTTCTTCTGCGTTTTCACAGCCTTAGTCCCAGACTGTCCTGGGGCTGCTTTGGTTGCTCTTCTCCACTTATCTCTGTCGAGCACATCTTCCTCACTCACTTCACATACCTCCATATCTTTTCTCACACAATCTATCCATCTCTTTCTAGGCCTGCCTCTTCCCCTGTTACCTTCCACCTCAAATTCCATTAGCCTCTTTGTTATTCCTCAACGTCCCTCCTCATGATATGTCCATACCACCGTAACCTCGCCTCTCGCATCTTCTCAACCACATCCACCACCCTACATTGTCTACGGATTTCTTCATTTCTGATCTTATCCTTCATTGAAATCTGCAGAATCCGCCTCAACATCCTCATTTCAGTTCTTCTCATCGAATGTGTTGACCAGCTCCTCGGCTACAGTCAGAGACAACGCAGGACTGTCTCTAGTATGGCGAGATTTCCGAGATGTACTGTAGGAATGACATTGTTCCAACATTTTGCATGTGTGGGTGAAACGTCAAGCCTGGATCACGTATCACCCCCCGAGTTCATCAATTAGATTTAAATTCAAGTACAGTGCTATCCACAGATAGGTTTACTATGTTAGTTTCACATAACTTACATAGCTTCAGTCTTGTTGCAGTTGAAATAAAGGGAATTTTGAGTCATCCAGGTTTTTGTCAGAGATGCAATTAGAGAGTGCAGACAGTCACCTCTGTGTCACGTTTAGCATGGACATAGATTTGATCATTAGCACAAAACATGATCATTCGGACCATGAATTATATATTTTATTATGTTTTTTTTACGTTCCCAATGAATGGAAATAATCCGTTCGTGTTTTTCTTACTTCTTTGGTACAGAGGGAATAATAGAAAGTTAAATTAACTAGAAAACTGAGTTTCCGCAGACAAATATGAGGAAAACACCGATATCAATTTACCCGGTACCTGTCACTTAGATTTAATATGTCTAAACTACTGAGTCCTGTCGGGTCTATCAGAGGAAAAAAGTTGAATGTTCAGTCACTTAAATCCCTCAGGCAGCTGTGTTCAATAAGAAGCAATCAACAGAGCACAATTGTCTAGAGTTGATTTCTGTCATCCTGTGAGATATGCTTTTCAGCTGGTATCCATTATGCATCAAAATCTAGCAACAGATCTTCTGAAATAGAACAAAGTGTCAGGAATGATAAAGGACAGAGGCTGCAGAAAAAACAGAAATTCTTGGCTGAAAGATCTTGCGCTGTACTTTATTCAGGACAGTGGCCAATGCAGACATTATCTGTCATTCTAATTGGAGTTAGAAAGCTCAAATTGAAAAACATCGGCCTCCGCTGTAATACCTAGTTTCTCTTGAGTGGTCGAACAAGCTAGAGTATCCAAAATACTATAAAAAAAGGGAAGTGAGATACAGCACAGGCTCCTAACAAGTCATAGATGGCATTTTGTTTTGCTTGCGCTTTGCTGTTACTTTATTTTTAAAAATCCATCTAATCCAACTGCTGAAAAGACCGTTTTTGTCCTATTGTTTGTTTGGCTCATTAAAGCTCATGAAAAACTGGCGATGCAGCCAGAAATTCAATTTCATGAGCTTGGGTGAAAACCTTAAACTACATTTGGTTGCCTTACTGATTTTTTTTTGTGGAGAGAGGTACAACTAGATGAGACTGTGCTGGTGCAAAAACTGGGAGAGGAGTGTGGTCTGAAGTTTTTCTCACCTTCAGAACACGTTTAATTAGCCTCATTTTCACCTTTTTTGTGGCAGCTCACCACATGTGGAAAAAAAATATTTTTAAAATATTTAATGGGCTGTTAGTGCCAAGAATCAAAGAACATAGCCTTTTTCCTTAACGTCTTAAGATCTTGGAAGCAGAGTACTGCAATTGGAAAATAAATACAGTATAAAGACTTAAGAAAGTAGGCAAAAAAATCAGACCAAGTGTTTCACATGACCAATCCATTTTTTTAACAACAAATAAATAGGCCAGGTCAGTACCTTCTTATCACCATTTTAAGTTTGAAAGTTCATCAGTATTGCAATCTGGTAGAAATGACTTTTGTAAGGAGAGTATTAGCTTGCAGGGAAAAATTTATCAATAGAGACAATTGTCTGAATTAACTTTAGACTATGTCTTTATTCTTAAACATCAGTCATACAACCCTGGTCCTGAGGCAGATGGAACTTCTTTGATCTATTATTTCCTCATTATTAATTTATGCATCATCTCATGGCAGATATTTCAAAGTTCAGTGCATTTTTTTTCAGTTTCCAATTATTAATTGACTCCAGCAACTGACACGTAAATTATTTTTCTCTAAGAAAGTCACATTAACCTTGATCTTTTTTCAGAAAACTTTGCGAGATGTGTGTTGGTCTCTGTTTAATCAGAAAATAATTGTAGTGATACATAGGCAAGCATCAACTACATTTCTGTAGCAGATCTATATTTTCAATGGAATTATTGTATGTTATTGAAATTATTTTTCCTTTCTCAGTGAAGGTGTAAATTCTTTAACAAAAACATTAATAAAGAGATAAGATACAATGTAAAGTGCCAACTGTAATTAATCACACCATTTTTTGATATGATCACATATGTTGGAAAGAATAATTTGACAGCATGCTTAAATACGTGAATCATACATTGCAGAGTACGGTACCTCCCAAAATAGTTTCACAGAACCAGGCAGCTTGAACTGTTCACTGTGTGGGAGAATGAATGAACCTGTTAAGAAATTTAAGGTTATTAATTTGATATGGATATGAAAAAGTGTATTATGTATTATTAAAGCAGGAAATATATATTCTTAAAGCTTTCAGAACTATGTACAATGTACAATGTGCAAGTCTATTAATATGCATCAGTTCAAGTTACACTGTTCACACGATGGGACATCCAAATGAGATCCCGTGTCTGCACATTTAAAAAACATTATTTATTTAGTAAAAAAATGTAATACAAAAAATTCTATAACCGTATTTAATTAGGGTGGGTATATTAATAAGGGTGGGCATGGGAATAAAATGAATTATAGTTATTAACTGCAAAATATAACATGAATATCAATTATCAGTGTGCCGAAGAGCTTTCAAACTGATTATATGAAAATGAACAGTCTAGGAGTTGGTAACCACCATTAATTAAAAGCACAGCTTTATGCAAAGCAGAACATCTGGTGTGCGATTACCGCAGTCCAGGCTCTTTCTGCAAGTACAATCCTCCTGCAGGTGTTAATGGCGAGGCAGAAGGCACGTTCTCAGGCCACTTGAGTATTATATGGGGAAATGATAAGGAAGAGAGACCCACTCACCATTGTTTCTGAGAATTGCCTGCATGCATTCCATCTGTTGTGCATCAATCTAGAGAGAGAAAACAAAACAGCATATGTTGGTGTTTGAATAAGTAAGGGTACGTACTGCAAGCTTTCATCTTTCCGTCTTTGATGAACCAACGACGGCGATGGTGTTTTTTTTTTGTTCTATTCCTAAATACCAGATACAGTACATTTGCAATGCCTCGGGTGTCAGCCAAACATTCCAGAAGCAGAGTCATGTCCTGTATCACTCCAACTAGACTAAAACTCAGCTGAAGACCCTGCCAAGTCAAAGTGTTGTAAATGCCCGTTTAATATTTTCTCTTACAGTTTCACTGGCTGATATATCTCTGTCTTTTTTCTAGACAGGTGTCATATATTATTAAACTGGTCAGTCCCAGAAGTTATTTATGAGGACAATAATATATTACTTTGACTTAAGCCCTGTGCTGGTTAGAGTTAGTATTTCATTTCACACCAATGGGTGCATTTCATTTTTATACACGTGTGACTTAAAGAGCTGCATATACAATAAGATTTTTTTTTAATCCAGTTTAAAGCCAGTAAAATCTGTACAATCAATAAGCATCCACCTATCCCTTTTCTAAGTGTTGTATCTAGTACAATCAATAACCCTGTTAAAGTTATTCTTTATTCATGTGCTATTTCAGTGAAACACATACAGTATGTGACAAAAAGTGAATACACGTTACTTCAGGTCAAAGAAAGTTTAGTGAGCAGCTTATAACCACTGAACTCACTTCCCCATCTAGGTGAAAGGCTTTCAGAATGATGTGTGACTGCAAATCACTCCAGTGCTGACACCAGTGGAGTCTCAGCAATTCTGGAAGCAGACCATCCATGCATCTAGAAACAATTAAATCCATAAATGTACAATAAGTGTGATTTGAACAGTAAGACATACTTATAACATCAATGGTTGCCAGGACACATCGGGACGGGAAGATCTGCTACAGTATTTCTTGAATATGCAGAAAAGAACAGAAATCCTCTCTAAAAACTCTAAGGCATAAGGAAAATAAATTAAGCAGTTGACCGATTACCTTTTTAAATGCTAAAAACAAATTACCCATTTTTCTTTATCTCGATGAGGATGTACAGGTTACAACTGAGGCAGTGTTGTCTAAACATTGATGTGTACAAATACATTTTAATTCCTGCTAATTTAATTTCGGATTTAGTCACAGTTTTAAGATTGATGTGAAATTATTTTCTCGTGTGCAGACAACAGAGTCTCCAGAAAAGGTGTGGGTTCTGAATATTGAAGAGGTGTGGGTTTCAAAGATCAGTTAATACTGTAAAGAAAGAATCAGTGTATTTTAATAAGATTAACTAAAATGCAGTGCAGGCTGTGCATTGATAGCATGTGATTAAGCATATGTTTGATTAAGCTTATGTGGAAATTTGGCATCTGCTCATCTGTCCTCAGGGGAATTTAAGTCAACATCCTTCAGTGTGTGTGATTCTGAAGTCACTTTATGACAGAAAATAACATCTGGATCACAATGCTTCATTGGTTCTGGCAGATCAGTGTACAGTAAACTGGAACTGAAGGAGCAAAAAATGAAACCTTTTTTTATAAAATAATTACAGCCATTGACAACCTGGGATGATGCATTTGTGTCCTTAGCCTCTCATTCAGAAAGAGACTCCCGAGTGTCTAAAAACACTGATGTGAGTTTTATTTGGAATTGCTATATTAATCAATTCAGCTCGATGTTAGATCACAGGGGAGAGATGACCCTCCAAAGCCAGCACCCCAGGTAAGAGCTGCCTGCCAACACTCCCATAATTTAGAAACAGCATTAGCTTGATGGGCAAACAATTGATCTCTGAAACACTGCAGGTTCATCAAACCACAATGCCTGCTGCATGGATACCTTGAACTACTGAAAACCACTTGACCTCAGTGGCATACAACTGCTTGTGCACTGCCATGGAAAACAAAATCAGTTACAGTCAACTAATGGCAAAACCCAAAGTGCAGCCTGACGTTTTTGGACTACAGTGTCCAGTCTGCAGGACCATGTAGTTTTATATATTTTGAAATGAACTATTTACCCTGTTTTCATGTTCACATGACCTAGGAGCTGCCGTGAGTCCAGAGCCTGAGTGAATATTGTGCGCAGGTCAACACGATATCCCAGCTCCCTGAAGACCTGGAGGCTCGTCTGAAGGGATTCACTCTTTCCACAGCCCGTCTGCCCTACTATGGCAATCTACAACAAAGAACCTTCAATGACAAGATCGCTCTCCATTTTCCTGAGTTTCTCACATGTTTAAATTTCCCATTTTTGTCTTACCTGCCCTGATCTGGCAAGTTCACCAGACTTCCAACATATATTAAGCAAAGGGGATGTATTACTTTTAAGACATTACCTCAGACCTTTTAGAAAAGGATTACTTTAAAAATACACATTGGTGCTGCTGACAAGTCAATGGGTTTTAATTTTAATTTTAATGGATTTTAATTGTATTTGAGTATTGTGCAACAGAAAAAATAGTATACAGTACCCATTATTTACTGTATATACATACAGTAGATAACAGTTCATCTTTAATAATTCCTTACACATTTGTGTTTTTCTGGACACTCCACTCAAAGCACTTTACAGGTAATGGGGATCCCCTCCACCACCAGTAGTGTGCAGCCCCACCTGGATGATGCCCTGGCAGCCATAGTGCACCAGTACGCTCACCACACACCAGCTATCAGTGTGGAGGTGAACAGAGTGATGAAACCAATTCATAGGTGAGGATTGTTTTGAGGCCATGATTGGTAAAGGCCAGGGAGAAATTTGGCCAGGATACCAGGGTAACACCTCTACTCTTTCTGAAAAATCTCATAGGATTTTTAAGGACCATGAGGAGCCAAGAACTCTGTTTTATGTCTCATCCAAGGCATGGCGCCTTTTTTTGGCAGTATAGTGTCGCCATCATTATAATGGTGCATTAGGATGCGTACAAACTGCAGATTGAGCACCCACTACTGGTCCCACTAACACCTCTTCCAGCAGAAACCTTAGCTTTCCCCATCCAGGTACTGGCCAGGTTCACACCTGCATAGCTTCAGTGGGCTGTCAGTTGTGAGTTGCAGGGTGATACACAGTAACTGCTGGCTAAATGTCTTCTAGTTGGAAAAGGTGTCATTTAAAAAGCTGAGAGTTGGTTTAGTAAGACCCTCAATGACCTGTAGATGCTAGCAAATGCTTCAGTTCAATTCAATTGACCTGATGAGGGTAACTCACAGTCTGGTAACTAGGGATAAGATGAGTCAGTTGCTGGACTACAGAGGTGAAGCCTTCAGAAGCAGACAGCTGCCGGAGTTTGATTGCCTTTGCAATCACCTCCTTCTCATCAGTAGTCTGAGCTACTTTTACACTGCAGAGCTCAGGGTCGGCAGAGGTCTCCTCTGAACTGCTTAATGACAGAGATGCTTCACAAACAGCTGAAAAATATGGAACAGACAGTTTAGAATATGACATAAAACACAAGGTAAACACTACAGAAAAATTCCTTATTACCACAGCTATATATATAGTATATTATATATTGTTAATTATACAATTATATATTATAATTTTTGTAGGTTTAATTATTTCTTTGCTTAACAGACATCCTTGTCCACGGCAACCTAACAATTCAGTTTACAAATAGACAGCAGTAGGTGTGAACGAGGGTTTTGAATCAGATGTGTGAGTCAAGAAAGGGCCAGTGGAGAGGCTGATGTAACGGAGCAGCATGAGACAAGCAGGGAAGAGAGAGGGCAAGGTGAGCCGCAGACTTCTGGATGAGTCAGAACGTGCGGATGTTAGATAGCGTCTAGGACTAGGCAGGAGAGCACCAGGGCTTCGACCACAGGCTGTGGTGGGTAGAAAGCAGCTGGCAAGGAGAGGGCAGGTTCTGCGAATGTTGCTCAAGAAGAGGGAACAGGAACTTGCCAGAGGAGAAATGTGTTGGGAATAGGAGAAGGAGGGGTAGCGTACGATCTTGCTGAACGGTGCTGGCATATAAAATTCCCAAGCCTCACAGGTTTGTTAGAACTGTGTATACATTTACATACACTAATGTAAGCAAACAAATGTGAAAGCAGCACTCGTGGATATCAAAGTGGGTTTTTTTGTTTAAAAAGGAGAGCATCACTCGGGTTTAATTTACCTCCGTCATCCCTTGGACTCCCACAGGGCACAGGCAGTGATCCAGGCTGCCACAGAGTTCTCATCAGTGAACACATCAGGGTCAGCCCAGTACCGGTCAGCCTGGGGATCACACTGCGATGCAACGCCATGACCAAGGCCCTGTCTTCCAATGCATCGATACGTTCACCTGAACACACAGAGGATGCCAGAAGAGGAAACCTCATTTGCTTTTCTGCCTCAAAGAAATACAGACTCTTCCGAAAACTGAGATGCAAGATGACAAGTCAATATGGTAAAACAACAATGTAAGCCCACTTTGTAGAAGCATTTCCAGCTAATTCTAATTAAAAACTGTGGGCCACCAGGCATCCCCTGCCTTCTCTGAAGAGAAGATACAGACAGCAAATTTAATTTTACCTGTGGATTAGGAGATGTTAAAAAATGTTTTTCATCTACGCTGAAAGGTTGAAGCTGTCTAATTTAAATGCTGCTCATAAAACACCGCGGCACACGCCTTGATCACTCAGAAATTGGGACAATTTGGAAATGTCAGACTCTAGTTAGCAATTCAAATGACCTAAGTGGTAATTATGCCCTTTTCATGTTTCCAGCATGTTCCACTGCATCAAAGCTGACACTAGCACCCAGTATTTTAATATCAGGCCGTGGAAATAAAGGTTTGAAACGATATGAAAATGTAGCTGTAAGAGATTAATAAGGGCTCTCTGTAGAGGACAGAAAGCATTTTTTCAGGCAGTCTATAATTTATAAAAACGCTTGTGTGATTGCAACTCTGCTTGAGGGAGAGCTGAATTATATTATCACTCTCCGGCCCATAATCAATTCTGTCAGTAACAGACATGGTGAGAGGAAAGAAAAGAACAGGCAATTGTTATAAAGCCCTTTGGAATAATATTGGAGGGTTCTATCTGTTTTCCGTCCCCCTGTTGGATTATTCTCGAAGCAACAGCTCTTAGACTGCACTTGTGAAACTGGCGGCTTTATTACCCAGAGTTATACAGCTAAAAGTTTAACCTTCTTCTACAGACCATTTAACTCAACGTGTCTGTTAGACAGGATCGCTCTGCTGTCACATTCCTCTGCTTTTGCTGACTGAGCTCGAGCGTTGCGGTTTGAGCCAATCTGGGCTATTTCAATGTTTTGTTCATTATTCCAATTCTAGGTGGAAACCAATTTCAATTCGTTGAGATCTAAGATCATGGAACGTAGGGTAACTGGAAGGTGTAAAGACGCACTTCACTACACTTACAGTTTTGTTTTCTGTAATTCGAACACCACACTTTGATTCTCAATGCTGCATTACCGTTGATAAACCTTCACACACTGTCCAATTCTACTATGAAAACACACCATGTAATCGGAGTACTAAAGTATATTGAACTCCCATAGCTTTCTTTAAATGTATTCACACACTAAGATGAAATGTACTTTAAATGTAATGGGTCAGCAACCAGTGCTTATATTCTATTAAAAAGAATTTGAAAATGGAGAAACACATTACTTTAGTTCACTTTTCATAGGGCTTCATGACCACATATAAACTCAGGGTGTTTTTTTTCCTGTCTTGTTAAAAGTTATACATACCTGCAGTGCTTTCTTGTTGTTCCCCGATCTGAAGTGAACATAAAAGTACACCTGCTTTAGAGATCAGATGTCTCAGGCTTGACAGTGTCCAGGGAAAACCATGGGCTGCAAAGCCACAAGAAAAATCAGATGTCACACCAGGGAATTAATTATAATGATCTCAATATGAGGAAGAAGCAGGGGGATATCAAACAGGACGATGAAGGTCAGAGGAAGATTAAGTAGATGCATATTACCAAACAGAAGTGTCAACCTTGAAAGAACAACAACTGTGAGCCAGAGAGCAGAGATCTCATCTTCTTTGCCTTTTCTATATAGACTGTCATTATTGTAGACACAAACCCTTATCTGTAGCCTGCTTAACAGTTCCTATTGACATGCTGTTTGTTGAGGCCTTTGAGAAAAAGGGATAAAAGGATGCACATTCCACTCCATTAAGTAATGTGGTCATTCATATACAATTAGCACACATTTCGAAATCTTTCTTGTCTTTTGTGATGACTACAAAAATGACATTCTGTACAATAAAAGTGAATAGAAGTAGAGACAATGCACATTTCTACCATGCCATCACGTACTGCTAAAGCTCGAATGAAAGTATGAATTACAAGGAACAGCAAATAAAATCTGAAGACCTTGGTTTTGAATTATCTTCTAAATAATGTAATTCCAATAGGTATTTTTTAGGCTTTTACAATAAACTGATCCCCCATATAAGATTCTCAAACATGCAAACAAATGTAAAGTAGCAAGCCAGTCCTTATGAAAAATAAAAATCAATTTGCCTCAATCAGAAATCCTGCTGAGCTCATCACAGACATTCATACTGTGATTTGTTGTAATTAATCAACAGTGACTGAAAACATAAAATAAATCACAGTTGCTTGGTGACATTAAATTTATGCAAAAAGAGAGTATATATACTGTATATTTCCTGGTTGCTTAGCAAAAGTTAAAATAATGATGAAGAGCATTTTAATAAACCCGCGAAGGACTGTTGGAATATTTTAGAATAACTTTATAATTCCATAAGAACATGATTAATTATGATTTCCACAGACACCTCGTTAACCACAAAGCCACACAGCATATGCTCACCAGTCCCACAATGCTCACCAGTCCCACAATGCTTGGAAGAAGCTGCCGCAGTGGCCGAGACTGCCGAGAAGATCTCAAACAGCGCCAGGAGTTTCCTTCTCTGCAGTCTGGCCCCCCGAAAACCTGCACACCCCAAAGTAACAAATATGAACACAAAATGCCAAACATCATGAACGAAATCCAAAATCTTAATCATGGGACGTGGGAAGGGGGTTGGACATTTTGCAATTTCCTTTTCATTAAATTACTCTCAGTTGACACAATGTACCAACAATTTACATGCTCCGCAACATAGATTTAAGAACGAGTAATAGGTTTATTCCAGGCTGAAAAGAGAAGGAAGATAACACAAGATGGGTTCACACCTGAACCAGGTTGTGTTATCCTCCTTCTCTTTTCAGCCTGGAATAAACCTATTGCTTGTTCCTTTGCAGGCTACACATGCTGATGCAGCTACAGTACCCACGTGATAGATTTAAGAATATGTATATTATGCAGCGTGTGTTTTTATTTGTGTAAAACACAATCAAAATCAACGTAAAATATCTAATTTTGCTGTCTCACACTATTCTGTTTTTTGCTGTACTAGGTCTTGAAAGCTACCTTCTGTAGGACTTGTCTGGACAAGGACAGTTTGTGAAATTTCTGTCATTTCAATCATAGACACTAAAGAGGACCCCACACTAAATTGTATTCATAACATTTTTGGAATAGACAAATGATTATGCTGTACTTAAAACTCACTGTGAACCCATCTATTGTTGTCAAATTCTGAATCACTGCCAATAGAGTTCATAAAACGTACCGCATGTTTTCATGAAAACATTTCACATTTAAAAGCCTGTGCACTGACAAAATCCTGGCAATAAAACAAACACTGTGTGCGAGAAACAAAAATACTGCAATATAATTACAGGTTTATAATTTGTAATAGAGCCTTATTTTTGTAAAAAAATAGTTTGCACTTTATTTTAAATATTTGATGAAACTTGCAAACATTAGAATTATTCTGACATGCCATGAATTAATTAAATGTGCTTTTGTTGAATCACTGTGCCCTCATGCACCTGACCGGTCAGTCTTTTAGCAAACAGCATGGCCAACCTAAGGGCAGTACTGGAATTAAACTTGCTGTTAATATTTGTGACTGGATGCCAATCTTACTTATTTTATGCACTTATTTTGTGTTTTATTATACCCCAAAGGGACACAGGAGTTACACATTACTTGCACAAGAGGCAATAACAAGGGCGGGTGTGTTACCTGCTGCTTTAAAGAGAGATTCAACGATGAGGTCTGTGCTGGATTTTGTTATACTGACAATTCGGAAACACTTGAGAAGTCTATGGGGAATAGCAGCTGCTGGAGAGACACAGCCTGGCAACATTCCCTCTCCTCTTTGTTCTGCAGGATGGCTGCCACAGGAGAAACACAAACATTTTTTCTAATTGCACCGGTTGTGCAATATACTACGTTTTGATTTTCACCTAGTGTTTTTTAAATCCAGTCAAAAATGCTTAGCCAGATCAAATCTCCTGCAACACAGCGTTAACAGATGTCTAAAGAAGTCATGAGAGCTCAGTATTTTGTCCCCAAGGTGCCAAAGAATTTGGAATTTACAAATGCAAAAATGTATTTTAACTTTAAAAAAAAAAGGTTTTGCTAGACTTGAAGGCATCCAGTAAATGTGTATGCAGTAAATATAATTACCTTAATGAAGTTGCAAAGTAGCCACCTAATGAATTAAGCGGAATCTCCTGAAATTGAATGCGAACGAAGCCTTTCAGGGCTTTCATGCCTTCGTGAATCTGGCCAAGCAAATGTGCTGCTTCAGAGAGGACAATGGGCCTCATCCTGTCGATCGAGTCGAAGCACACTAAACATCCTAAATGCAAAGAAGGGAGGCAGTAAAAATCGTATTCTACCTTTTCAATATCATATATTAATTAGAATATACACAACTCTGATTGTAATATTCTAATGTCAACACATTTCTTGGAAGGAAAGATTTGTTAATCAGGATGATCTTTGACTCCCAGTGAGAGATGCTTTTATAAAAGAAAAGATGGCCATGCTAAGAGACACTTGCCAGACGAAGCTACACCCTTGCACACGTCAGAAAGGGTTTTGTGATCCAAGGCTTCTGAACAGCAGATGAAATATAGTGCACGTCCCAAGACCAGGCTCAGCTCTTTAATCGTGGTCTTCTTCCCAATTCTCTGTAACAGACGATTAAATAAATAATTGTTGTCTCCAATTAAAGTGCCTTTATTTTTGCACAAGACTAAGAAAGTCTGTGCTGATCCTCAAGGAAGTAGGCTTTTTTCCGCTAAACAAATATGCAGAGTAAAGCTGGACTAAATCTTCCACAAAAGCCTTAAATTAATGCAATACCTTCTTTTAAATAAACTTAAAAAATAGACATGGAGCTGCAAGGAACCGCTTGAAAAGCTCCCAAGCTGTCCTACCTCTGGACCTGTGCAAAAGCCTCCAGTTCGAACAGCCAGAGCAGCCAACATGTGGAACATGGCTCTCTCAGACAGAGGGGTCATGACACTGCTCTGCACCGAGCCCTGGTATTCATAACCGTAGGTGAATTGATGCTGCCCAGTCTAAAACACAAAGTGAGAAATCATCCTTTGAAATATGAAAGTTACAAGTTTTATTATGCATTTCTGAAAGAGGGAAAGACAAATTTACAAATAAAGTCCAAAGAGGTATCTTTATCAACATTGACACCCTCAAACAGTTGCAGAGCCTATGACATGTATATGAGCCGAGCAATTCACAATAAAATATTTCATATTTCAATGAAGTGTTTTTACATTTGCGTATGGATGTGCCACACTACTTAAAAAAAAAAAACCTTGGAGAATATGCAACTAGTTCTTCTGCACATCTTTAACAGTGCTGATAAATGCACAAGCCCTTACAACATTCATGGGCTGTTAGCTGCTACAGGCAAAACCAGCTTGGCATATTTACTGTACACTTTTTAAAAGCCAATATGTTTCAGGCAGATTTCTCTGCCAGATAGCTCTCCAGCAATCTGCTAGACCTTGGTAGACAGCGGAAACTAAAATTGTCTTCAGGGTGAAGCACAGGTGGCAAAGGGTGATGACCATATGGAAGGAAAACATTTATTTTTATACTCAGTATGGTAGAGGTAGGTTAAAGTTATGTCAGCTCATATATGCTGAAACTGCAGCATGCACTGAAGTGTCCTCTGACAACGTTTTGTTCTAATAAACCACAATAAACTAAGTGCACTACATTCAATACGCAAAGAGTAGAAGAATAAGTCTCGAAAAAACACTAACGTTTAGGAATTACCATCCTATGCACACATGCACTGAAGACTGTCACTTGAAAAGTAGGGAAAATGCTGAAAGCATAACAAATTCGGTTTGTGCATATCTACCTTGACAATGATATCCCTGCGGTTCTCATCATACTGGTAGAAAAAAGGCAGGTTGAGCAGCTTTAGCTCATGACTGCTGGCACTTGTCTTGACTTGGTCCATCACTCTTCTGAGAATGTCACACTGGAGAACGAAATCAAGGAGAGAAACACTGTGTTGAAATGCTTAGAGGATGTCGTAATTAATAGCTGGCTTACTGTAAAGAAGCCATTTTGACAGACTGGGGAAAAAAAGGGGATTTGTGTTCATGAAATGTTTTCGTTGCTCTTTCCAAATGGAACCAGAGATTTATGTTCATTTTTACAGCAGTCCATAAACTTTGGAAAACTGCACATTCTCACTCTCAAGCTGTTTGCCGATTGCCTGCACCCATAAATTCAAACACTAAATTATGCACGTTTGCCTCAGAAAATCACATTTAACATCCAGACACAGCTAGGAGACAAACACTATTGTGTTTTGAATAACAAGTCAGATAGGGTGGTAAAATTTATCCTGAGTAAAAAAAAGGCTACATGCACGTAAAATATTTTAAACTGCTAGAGGAAAAAAAAAAACAGAAAGGGCACCTGGTATGACAAGAGCTGAATATGGATGCTTAATTTTTCTACATTATTTTCATAATTTTCAGACTTTTTAGATGGTGTGAGTCGTATGGCTGAATTTTCACTCTGGCCTTTGCTATTAGGATGAGGGGATTTCACATCTAAAAAATAATTAGAAGATACAGAGGTGAAGTTAGCACAACCCATCAGAACCAAAATTAACAATGACATATTGTAAACCTCACAGAAGACACTTTTATATAAATATTTATCAGTTTTCAAAACACTGTATTAGCTGACCAGTATAACAAAATTACATGTATTTTCCATTACTTTATTTTCAGAAAACAGAATCAATGAAAGATTTTCGTCTTAGGCTATGATATCAGCCATCTAATTCAAGTATTTGGTTATTAAAAGGTACTGGCAGAGGTTACTTACATTTACTTCACAGATATTAGCTGCTTTCCTATGAGGACATTCAGAATAAAATGGCCTCTGTCACATTATACAATTTTCCTTTTTCTCCCATACCTTGATTTAAAACATGTTGGGCATCTTCCACTAATCCAAACTGACTGTCCTTTAGCATTCTTGCTGCACATTCTACTGATTCTGTCAATACGCTGTGATATTCCTATGAAGCAATCATACATTTTGAATTGATTACAAAAGATAAAAAAAACAGCTATTTGGATGAAATATATATTTTAAAAAGGTCATTTGGAAATTCAATTCAACACTTTTAACTACACTTTGTCAGTACACAGGTAAAAACTATGTCTAAAAGGGAAGGATGCAGGTGGTACATAAACAGAAAAGCAGAAGCCCTAAATATGAGCAAATTCTATAGGGGAGCCAAAGGTATTGCGACAGAATGTTCATGAAGTTAATCAACAGAGGTACAGAAAATAAATATGCATTATTTCTAAAAATAAAAGGTATACATAATCTGGAGGCTTATGTTATCTCACAGTGTTCATGAGCAAAAAGCATAAACACAACAGTTTAAAAAAAACAGAGAAGGGTGATACAACCCAAGGTAACCGACAGTTTTTGAGTGACTACAACAGATCTGCAGTACCTGCAAGGCTTCTCGCTGGCCACTCGCCAAGTCAGTCAAAGCCCTCTCCAGGGAACGTGTGAAATTAATTTGTGTGGCAATACGAGCAACCTGACTAAAAGAGTCCAGAATCGAGGTCAGTGGCCACCTTTCAGCACTGGACACACCAGACTGCTGACCCCTGCCTGACCCATTTCTGCCTCTCTCAGTTGCAGTCCGCTGAGAGCCACTGCTCCTACCTGGAAGTAAACAATTCTAAAGGTTAAATAAAGGACAGATCTGTCTGAGCAGATACTATCATTGCTGTTCATAAATAATTATGCAAATGCTTTGCTATCTAATTAAGTGTCACTCACCGAAGACTATCAAACAAGAGCATCTTTCAGTGAGGAAATCAATCTACAATTTAAGCCTGGAGGCTATGAACATTGTATTAAAGATGGTGATGATTATTAAAAATGATAATGGTTTTTTAAATCACAATGTTAATGACAAGTTTTTATGTACCGTGTTGTAATTAAGCTATTAATATGGAGATCATTACAGAGTGTAAGCCATCTGTCGAAACAAATGCAAAGTTTTTTTTTTATTCTGTGTTCAGTATAATCATTTTTACCTTCAGCAACAGCATTCTAGCACCATAGCCTGAATTTTGCATGGGTAAATGCAATCATTTAAACACCCTTCCCTTCCGACCTCAGCAATTTAGCATGCCTTCTGCAAAGAAGAGGGCGACGAGCAGAGAAGAAAAGCTTTGACGTACTGTCCCTGTCCTCGTTCTGCTGCTGCTGGGATGGGGGTCGGCTGACAGTCACTCGTCTCGCCCCCGCGCTGTGGATCTCCCTCTGGGGGCGCTGTCCATATCCCAGTGCCGCGTGGAGCTGACTCCGCAGGGCAGATCCGATCCTGCCCTGCAGGAGCTGCAGCCCCTGCTCGGCCAGACCTCCGCATTCCAAGGGCTTCATTCGCACAACGGCATCAACAAACATTCAAGCCCAAGGTCAACACACAAGTCTTTGGAGGCTTTTTTTGTTCCGTACAGCGAGCTGCCAATTCATGATCAACTCTGCTCTTCCCACTGATCCCCTACGTCCCCACAATTCTGAGCTAACATGACTGACACTATGTCCTTTCATTATGCTTATTACCAGCCTAAAAGTGTGTAATTTTCACAGCAAAAATATCACTGACTCACTGAAACAATACTTGAATCCACTCTCCATTTCTGAGCCCCCGATATGAATTGGGATGCTCACAGCACCAAACGCCCCTTAAGGACTTAAAAGGTCATCTATAATACTGCTCAGATAAAATCTAACCATAACAAAAACATATGAAAATGAACCAGAAAAATGGAGCAGTGACCCGATATTCTTTACAGCTTCAGTGATTCTCTCTTTCATATTCTCTCATGACTAATGCCTTTGAATTCAACAATAAAGAGTCCTGGAACCGCTTTTTAAAAAAAAAAATCACTTCAGCATGTCAAGAGATTTAAATTTAAATTCCCGTACCTGTTTATTGTCAATACAATGCATTTGCAGCGTTTGATTTATTCCCCATTTGCACATATGCTTGAACTCACTCATCACGTTTAGTTTGTTGACAATAAGAGGACATTTTTGGTCTGTTTGACGATTACTAGCAATTTATCCTGATCAAACCGCCATTGAGCAGAAAGTAAAGTTTTTAGACATCACAGGAACAGGACGCAGCACATTAATGAAGTCTTTAACGTACCTCGGTGAGATACAGTTGTTCTCCAGCAAAGCTTTTCACTGCAACTATTCTTTGGCTCCTGGCTTCATGAATCTCATTATTTTTCACAAAGATCAGACTTTCCATGTGTTCAAACACTTTATAGAGATAGTGATGTTGTACTTCTGGATTGCAAGCTATAAAAAAAATGTTCAATAGAATACATTTGCATGAAAATGATGTGTCGCCGAAATAAAGAAAATCAGTTGAAAAACACTGTCATTTTGAAATGACGTTCTCTACAGCAAAAAAGATCAAGTTATTTTTGTAGCTCGGCTGCAAAGGTAAAGTAGAATGTGATGCATCAAATCACTTCAAAAATTAGATTTCATTCAGTCTTTATACATACATTTTATCTTAAATGCATAATAAGAATTATTTTTAGAAGTGTAACTCCTCACCACAGCAAATGAGCTTGAGTGTATCTTGTAAAGGCAAAAAGAATAATCTTGGAAAAGCGTGCCGTCTAGACTCCAGATAGTCAAGAAGAGAATGCTGGCATTTTTCTAGTTTCTCCTTCATTTCGCAAAGCATGCCCTGCAGGCCTAAAAAGCAGAAAAGAAACAAACTTCATTTTAGCACTTCAAATGTTTTTAAAGCATTTAGCACTTTCAAAGTAAGGCCACACGCAAATTGAGAATGTGCAAACTAAACGTTAAGCGGGATCGGATGGAAAGTTTGATTATGTGGATTGATAAAATAACTACGGATACGATGACTTTCCTATCACAGTACGTTTGCTACCTTCAGTTACAGTTCTGAAAAATTAAACCCATGAAAACAAATCTACACTGATTAAGGAATATTCGCTAATGTGGTCTCTCTCATGAGGACTCTCACCTTGTCTTATACAGATTTGGAGAATATTTGGGTTTTCTTCAGCTGCTTTCATTAGAGAGCACAGGTCCTGCTGTACAGAAGCAAAGACTGCAGCTTCCATGGGCAGATCACCACAGACACTACTGGTTGTAAGAACCTGCAAGACCAAACCGGAAGTCCATTTTAAAAAAAAATCAGTATTACATACTGAAAATGGATTTCTCAGAGGTTTCTCAGATTTCTCCACTCCTTAAGGGTTCGAAGGTCCCTCGGTTTTCATTCGACAATGATCTCGAAATTTTTGGACAAAGAAGTAATTTTTATGTCTTAATCTGTTGCTAACTAGAAAGAACATGTGACGCTTGCGAGACTCCAGGCCAACACTGCGATCACGATCTTCAAGTTCTATACAGTATTGGGCATTCTTCCAGTTCCAATAAGAACAAAAAGGAAAACATGGCTATATAATTTATAATTGGCAACATTAATATATTTTATGCACACATTAAATGTTTTTACAGCTTGTTTATGAGGATACATAGCAATACAATGAAATAATGACAGACCTCTGTTAGATGAAACTGGTCTGAAACTACAGTACTAAATGATTCAACTGCTTGTTTACTTAGGAAGATACCATAAAATAACGCAAACTCTCTTGGTTTAATACCCAATTTCTCGCGTATTTCTTCACTGTGTCCATTAAATATTTAGCAGTGCATGCATAAATGTGTTTGTGGATTTGACAAAAATAGAGCAGATGCACATACAGTATAAATTCCATTTAAAAATGTACCTCTTCCAAATTGACCCACTTGTCTTGAACTTGAAGCATTAAGTGCACAATAGATTCAATAATTTGGAGCTTCTTCTGCCATTTTGTCACTTCATCTAAGAATGTTCCTGCTTCACTGCTGTCCTTCATGGTGTCTAAAGCCATCTGGTGATGCTCCAGTTCCTCAAAGATGGCCTCTGTGTTGGTCACTAGCATGAATACCCCAGCCTCGGTGGACAAGAACATTAAAGTAATAAACTTTAGACTTAAATAGAGTATGTGAGGTCAGAATACAGGATCGCAAACTGTATTTGAAATGTCAAATGGCAATAAAAATGCAATTGAACCCCAAAAAAAAAGTTTATAATAAAATTATAGTAATTCCTTGCATATATAGAGCTCTCATCCCCAAAGGTTCCCAAAGACTTGTATACATAAAAAGGGACCAGCTTCATTCACCATTGAAGTGCACTGTCCACCTGGGAGAGACACAACAGCAGCCTCACCACACAGTAAACCAGGTGGAGAAGTTTCACCATTGTACTGAAAGGGAGTTGTAGTGAAGGCAGATTGCAGAAGTCTAGAAAGAAATGTAGGCAGGAGATAGGGTGCCACCTATACTCTTGAGAGTCTTGATAGATAGATAATACTTTATTAATCCCGTAGGGAAATTGACCCTCCTGGTACCTAGGATGGTACCTCCTACAGCACAGTGTCCCTGGTCATCATACTGAGGCACTGGAAATTCATGTCAGGATGGAAGACTACCACCTACTGGTCTAACACCACTTAGAGCAGCAACCTGGCTTTTCCCCATCACTGTACTGGCTATACCTAACCTTGCTTAGCTGCTGTTATCTGACCAGATCAGTCTGGATGCTGGTAAACTGGTTAAGATATTCCCACACCACCTACAATACCCAACAGTTTAATAAAACACCAAGGCAGACTAAGGAACTTTTTAATAGAAAGAACATATTTGGTTTTAAAACAAATTAATTGTGATAGAACTCACTTCACCCTCCCTTGTGGCTGACATCGCCCTGTTGTGAGGCTGGAGGTCAAATATTCTGCTAAGCCACACTTCTTCACAGTTCTTCAAACCAGTTTCGATGGCAATATCATTGGATGCCCGTTCCACTATAGCCTTCACGTTATCTGCATGCTCTGGGTAAAAAAGAAATGTGAAAGAATAATTAACATACTGTACCTATCCCCAGCAATTGATACTATATATCCTGTCCTGAGTGGCCAGGAGCAAACTGGGACAGAGTACAGTACCTGGCTCAAGAGTACAGCTGCAACAGTAAACAAAATCCTATTCTGAAGGAAGAGTAACAACCTATTGCCAGCTTCCATTGGAACACATATGAATCATTTATTGACTACTATACTTTGCAACATTAAGTTCTTAAATAGTTTCACAAGCACTGCATCTATGGCTGTAAGTACTTTGCTGTTAACAGTGGAGCACTGGCTGCATCTGTCAATGAACATGCATTTCTTAAGATACCAGCTATTATTGTTTTATTAATATTATACTTACACGGGTGCATAGTATAGTGAAAAGTGTTTCTCATTAGTCTCTCAGGTGCAGAATATAAATAGAACAGCAGACAAGACAATAGACAGTAATACAATAACAATAACAGTGTAAACAACAGTATGGTGCCAGTGCAAAATTGTCACAAACTGTGCAAATACACAAACAGAGAAAAGTATACAAACAGGACAAAAACAGTGCAAAAGTAATCCGGCGAAAGAGGTGAAGACTCACTCTGCAGCCCCAGTGCCAGCAGGTCTCCCAGGGTCATTCCTCTCAGGCTCTGAGGGGAGATGAGAAGCTGTCCCCCTGTCACCCTTACCAGCTGCTTCCAGTGCCGAGTCCTCATGGCTGGATTGAGGAGGTCTTCAATCAGGGGTAATGTTAACTAAATATAGGAAAGAGGGGAAAGGAGGGATAAAAACGACCCCTCTTCAGTAGCGCTTGCCCGTGCTAGAAAACATGTTTCTAAAGACCCAGCCTTCATTTAGCCCCTATCCAGAGACATTTCATCCCACAGAGGCCTGCTGTGAGCCGGAGCCGATCCTGGCGGGCACAGGGGATACATCCTGGCAGGAACGCCTGTCTGTCTCAGGGTGAGCACACATACAGTACACAGCGACAATTTAGAGATGCCCATTTGCGCAGTCCACATGGCGTTGCGCGGTGGGGAGAAACTGGAGCCCCGCGTGAATGCAGGAAGATCATGCCAGCTACCCACAGAAGGCCTCCCAGCCCAGACTCAAACCCAGGACACAAGGGCTGTGGATCACTGACACAGACCTGCACTGCACCTGTATTTTGAAAAGGGGTATCAAAATTTTCCTCACACCCTGGTAAGATCTTCCTGCACAAAAGATAGTATTTGTACCGAAGCAGTTTACATTGTACACTTTTATCTAATTTATTTTTTGTTTGTGGTTTCATAGGCAAGCCCATACACCACCCCCCTCAGAGCACAGAAATCTAGGGAAACTCATCGTGCTTATCTCTCCTCAGATTTCTTCAACTGTTGTAATTAATCACGTCTTTAAAAGAACAAAATGTAAATATGCTTCTGATGCACTGCCAATTAATTCCCTCTCTGTTTACTTCTAATGCTTCCTGCAACTTAGGGCTTTCAATTAAAAGTTTAGAAGATCTTTAAAATGATTAACAGCAGCACTCTTTTTTGCTAAACTGGATCATGAAAAATGCATTCAAATCGTAAAAACTACATGTGCCACAAAATCAATTCCCCAAGCCTTACTTCAGTCTGAAATGAAGACAAATTCAGTTTTAATAGTAATCAGTTACTGAAACTGTTATTGGTTCCGTGTTACCATACCACATGTGACATCCCTTCTGCCAACGTCATTACTTCCCAAATCCAAAACTCTGGCACAAAAGGATAAGACATATAGCAAAGAGAAGGCGTACAAATTGCATAATTAATTTCCTGACTGACCTGCATTTAAGGGTTAAAAGAGAGAGATTTTGACAGGTTTTCCAGTATTGCAGTGTTTGCGAACCTTGATAAGCATCTTATAGAAGATGTTTGCTCTGCACATAAATTTCACAGCAGCCCCTCCAAAGGTTGAAGCCTCTACCTGTATGACATTAACAGACTCCAGGGTCCCAGCGTAGACATCCCAGCCATGTACCTCCCGAGCCAGGGATTTAATTAGCTCTAGCTGCTGGCTGGTGCTGCTAACGAGCTGCACAGTGTCAATATCTTGCCAGGGCTGCGTCTTCCACTCGCTTTGCTGCTTGCGAATCACTTCTACAGCTTGCCACATCAGAGTAAGGTTTCTCACTGTGCGGCGACATCTAAAATTGAACAGAGCAGTTAAGCACGCACCAAAACCAAATCCACAAATTCGTGTCAGCAGCCTTTGTACATTTCCTGTCACCAATACCAGTTCATTTTTTCCCCAAATTAATCCTGTTGGCATGATCTCAACTTACAGTATTTAGACAGAATGAGCAATTATTTACAGGATGTAGGTGGAGTGCCAAAAAAACGTCTTGTGCTAAAACCTGAAAAGAAAAGCCTTTTGTGCTTGATATTACATGATTACATATTACAAGAACGGAAATGATTTTAAAAATATCAGGTTTTTAGGTATGCCTTTAAGTATGTTGCATTTCCAACCTTCTTCGGAATTAATGAAAAGTTCCCTGTACAAGAATACGGTGCGCTATTACATGAAGGAGCTCACTCATTCAGAATCCTGAAGTCCACTACTACGGCTTCTAGGAGGCCTTGCAATTCCTTCAGGTATTTGGCCTCTGTCTGGAGGGTTTTCACCTCTTTGCTCAGCCTCTTGATGACATGGTAAGCAGTCTCCACTGAACAGTCCCTCATATACACGTCGGATTCCTCGATGCTCTCTTTCAGCTGGTAAAGTCTGTCCCCAAATTGGGCCAGGTCCTGCAGAGAACCAAAAACTCAACTTCACATTTTCACCTAGCAGTGCATTGCCCAAGCTCATTTCACACTGAAAACATGGTTGTTTCTCTCTTAACCTGTGTCTTCTTTATACAGTATGCCATCTACGTTCAGCCACTAGGAGAATGTTTAATTATGCATTTCCTTTACTTTTTATTGGACCTGCCATGACTCATCTCACACAATAAAGGAAGAAATGTAGGTATGGTGGTCACCTTAGTGATGCTTTCTGACTCCTGTTGGATCTTGGGGCTGAGTCTCTGTTTGGCCAGGGAGACCCTGGTTTTCAGGTTGTTCCAGCGTCCTGGGATCCCAGTTAAGAGTTTTTCACTTTCTGTTGGGAGCCTAAATTCATATTTCTCCAACACTTTAACAGCTTTCTGCATAACAATAAACTGCCCTTCCATGTCCGTTTGTCTAGCAGATACCTTTTAAGAAGGGTAGAAAAAAAAAATCAAGATCAATACATACTGTAAAGGTGCATAGATGCTTATAGCATATAAACTTTTAATGCATCTTTCAGAAAGAATGAACTGTTAATAATAGATATTCTACACTGAAATGTCTTCCACATCGCATTTTAGCTGAGTGGATTCTGACTGCATTTGTTGCGAAATACAATCGGACAAATGTAATCTAATTTACCTCATTGAAGAGACGCATCATTTTCATAAAGAACTCTGTATCTTTCTCTTCCCCTGTGATTCCTTCTAACTGAGGCTCTGTTCTTTTTAAAAATATATCAAGATTCTCCAATGTGTCCGTCATCTGTAGAAGATGAAACAGGCTTTTAGCAAATGTAGATCCCTATCCCAAAATATATTAAGCTGATTAGAGTACATAATGTTCATGTCTTTCATTTTACAAATGTCCTGCAGAGTTTGTCAGAAAAATCCCAAAATAAAAAATTTGAAATATAAAACATTTTGGATTTTCAGTATTAAAGTATGAAGCTGATTTGAAGAAAAGCTAGAAAATTAAAATGTTTTTAAAAGCTGTGCAGAATAGGAATATAGTGACATTTAATGTCAAAGATATCAGAAATGAATAAATATCCTGCGGACAATAATCACATTGACTTTTATATATATAAGCAATGAAAAGATATTTCAAGCAAAACATATCAATCAATCAAACCAGGTTATTATAAATAAAACTATTCTCCATTCTCCTTAAAATGGATTCAATTCATATAGCTAGTATGATTTTATCTTGTATGTAAAAATATTTATTAAAGTGCTAAAAATTCTTAAGTACTTTTTTCACCCTCCAGCAATGGAAATGTGTTTTTTATTTTACCTTGTCGATCAGATATTTTGCAAAGGTCCACATCCATTTGAATGCACAGGCCGCCAAAACCTGTTTTATTGGTTGAAAATCCACTTTAATCCAGCCAACATGAACTGAACTTTGTAGACGCAATATGTCATCCCTGTCCATCTAAAAAACAAATTCACACTGAATTTGAAACAGGTTTGTAGTGTCCAACCCAATTAAATTTGAAGCAGCGTTTGAAATGTGATACAAGACAAAGTTATAAATGTCGTGTGTATTGTTTACCATAAGTAAAATCATATCTTGTTATCCTGAGTTAACACCTAGTAAGACAAAAAAAAACTATAAAAGGGCAAAATCCACTAGGTATTTTTTGACTTTTTTCAGCTATACGAGAAGTTGTTGAAATAATTAAAATATAACTTCCAGGATACAGCACAGTCTGGGAATCATTTCTCAACAGCTTGTCCAACTCTATTACAATACTAGAATTCACTTTAAAAAGTGGCAACCTTATCTTGAAATAATACCATATTTTAATGCATTCAAGCACCAAATTATTTATTACCTTAATGCAGAGTTAAGGCTTTGAGCGTTCAGTGTCACAAGGGCTTAATTTACTGTAAGCAATCAAAACACTTTGCCTTATGTTCCCACTGATAGAAACATTCTGATCCCAGACCAATATTTTTTCACTATAAAGTGATATCGCATACACGCCAACAGAAAACGTATAGAGATCTAACATTCCCTGCAGCTGATTAGGTTCATACCCGGTATGTAGAAATCTCGGCATCAAAATCCTCCAGTGACGGAACGTCTGTATTGGGCTTCACATCTTCAGGCATCAGAAAGGCCCTTTCAGCTTCAATCAAGAGTGTGCTCTGGGATCTCAAAGTGGTGCTCTGCCTGCTTGGAGATCTAAACCAGACATGATTGAAAGGCCATTAGAGTAATCAAAGATTCACCAGGCAGATGTTCTCCACGCATTTATTGGGTGAAACACTAACATTTCCACATTAGTATTTAGGGATCCTTTCAGCTTAACTTTTAGGGCTTTCATTTACAGACTACGCAACTCCAGAATCATAAATATGACTGTAATGGTGCCAGTATTAAAAAACAGGCCTGTTTTATAATCTTGTAGTGCAGATTCTGCTCATTTGCAGCTACTAACAATACTTAATAAAACTGCCAGATTAAATATCACAAACCAGTTTTTATAGATGTCATGTAACACTGCAATTATTTTTTTAGGTTTATATTTATGAAATCAAATTAAAATCTATAAGAAAATAAATTTGAATCTTGTAGCACATGTGAGTGTGCCATCATCCATTAAGCGATGATTCCCTTCTCAGCGGTTTTTCAGAAATTAAATTTTGAAATGTGTATTTCTTCTTGTCGATCTTCCCTAAAGAAAAGGTCCTCATTCATTCTTTCCCGCCTGAGAATATTACCTGTCACTCAGGGTATCCATTAATTCCATGAGGTAGCCAGACCCATCAAACCAGCCCTGACCGTCACACTTCACTCTGCCCACGCCGTTCAGGAAGTCCTGGAACGTTTCGTTCACATCTTTCCTCCAAAGGTATGCATACGGACTTAAAACCTCCAGAGTCGTCTAGGAAAAAAGGGAATGTTTGGGAAGCTGGCACTACAAATCCCCTTTGCAGTGCTGGAGTGAATGCAAGAGGAAAATGATAAACATTCAGCCAGAAGTTGAAACTAGAAGGTTGCTTTTTTATATTGTTCATGTGGGATTGCCTCATTACCTATAACTTCTTCTACACCTCAGATTTTAGCAAGGACTCCTGTACTACAGAAGGAGAGCGAAGAAGGGCAGACATGCTCCTTCTCTTGCCTCTTACGCCACTCATCTTTTGAGGTTTTCTAAACCTGGACTTCCCCGACAGGAGAGGCAGGGCCGACTGGAGGAGTGACACGTCCTTCACCGACGCCAGTGCTTATATTCAGGAAATTGCCAAAGTTGGCATGTATCGATATCCAAGAGAGAATTGCCTGTTGAACTGAATGACTGACTGATCAATCCCAGCCCACAGCTGGAGACACTGCACTTGTGAGTGAGTTGCAGAACAGACAAAGCCTAGGCTCCATGATTTAAAACTCTGAAGAAAAACAATATTGACAAGTATAAAGCCATTTGGCTCAGTAAACCCAAAGGGACCTACTTAGTTTGTCAGAGGGCATTATCTCACTGAACGCTTGAAGTTGAATGTACTGTACCTCCTGTGCAAAAAAAACAACAAACACCAACTGCTACATTAATGTTTCAGCAGTTTCCTTCCATAATAAACCCCAATGGTCAGTACTACACAAAGAATGATGAAGTACAGGAAAGAACAATTAGAAAGAGAAAGCTTCAGCAATGGTTTGCAAAGAAAGATCGTAATACTTTAATGATATATGACTTACCTGGCAGCCAGCAGTACCCTCCTGTACTTTTTCCAAGATGAGCCCCGTTAATTCAATAACTTCTTTGTCAGCAGCAAGATAATCAAGATAGCTTCCCTGTAATGTGAAGCAAACAGGTTCTTTTTATGTGTGAAGTACAAAATGAATCCCCGTTTCAGTTCCTTGATCACTGTTACTGCTGTTGTTATTGTTTGAAACCTCCAACAGAACAAGAAAAAAATCTGCTAAAGAAGTCTTAAACCAGAGTTTTCCACAAAAACAGTTTTGTGATCTCTCTCCGATAGCCTGGGGCATGTTTCACAGAATCAGTGAGTTAAAGCAGCCATAAACTGTACAAAAAACAGGACTTTTATAAGGCTTAAGGCTATATTCATACTATTGAAGGAAAAATGTTCCTTTACAATTGAACTTCCTTAGTTCAATTTTCATTGACTCTCAATATTTACTTCTCAAATATGATTACTATTCATTTGCAGTGGGCAATTAAACTAATGTGAATACATTAAAACGTTAATTTCCTATATAAATGATTAAAGTAAGAAGAAACAGCAAAGGATCACACATTTTTCAATAGCTAAATAACAACGAAGAGAACATACTCAGTGCTGGTTTATCTCACTGCCCTTTATTCAATCCATCTCAGTAGCTGTCCTATAACATTTCTAAATTATTTACCAAGATGGAAAAATGGCAATGCTTGTCATTATCCAGGGCTCTCATTTCTGTATTCAAGAAATAAACAACATTGATACACAAGCACGGTAAGTGTTTGGTTAGCTGGCCGACCTGCGTCATGCCGATATACCTGATCCAGACGTATACAGAGACCTACAGCAAGTAGGCCAGGGCCTGCAATGGCCTCTGTTGGCGTCTTTTTGGCATGAACTCAAGTTATATCTACTGGAGTGCATCTACTGGCAGGGGTGACCACTGTGCCAAACAAAGGGGGAAAGCAGTCGCCAGAGAGGGCTCTCCTTGCACAAATATTGATGGAGGGGATCCCCCCTTGTAAATACACATATGGAGGGGGTACCCCTTGTTCTGGCCAATGATGTCATGGTTACCAGCATGTCTCCACACTGGTCAAACCTCCTAGAATTTTAAACTACAAACCGGGAGATTAGTCAAACGGTTTCAAAGAAACTACTCAATAAGACCGCGCAAAAAGGAACCAGGAAACCTTAAGATCTCCCATTGTATTTTATCTTATAAAGAAAAATTAAAAACGGGGAGGGGCGGTGGCTCTGAGGCTAAGGATCTGCCCCTGTGGCTGGAAGATTGCCGATTTGTATCCCGCGGCCGGCAGAGGAATCCTACTCCATTGGGCCCCTGAGCAAGGCCCTTAACCCCAGCTGCTCCAGGGGCGCCGTATAAATGGCTGACCCTGCACTCTGACCCCAAGCTTCTCTCTCCCTGTCTGTGTGTCTCATGGAGAGCAAGCTGGGTTATGTGAAAAGACAAATTCCTAATACAAGAAATTGTATATGGCCAATAAAGTGATCCTGTCTTATCTTATTGTTTAGGATTATGAAAGACAGTGTGAACTAATTTCCCCACAGTCACTTTGTACTCCTACCTGTGCTTGCTGGCAATGCGTCGCGAGCAGGGCCGCTCTGAGCAGGAAGGTGTCGATGCAGTGGCGGGCGTGCTCCAGCAGGCTCCTCTCCACGGAGCTTTCCTCCAAAGGGGGGGAGAAGCCGACCTCCCCCCCGACCAGCTCCACACTGATGCCCAGCACCGGAGCCTGCGGGGAATGATTAATGGGACCTGCTGAGGCCGCCACACCAAAGCTCCACAGCAAATAAAGTTTGCGATAACATCTTTAATGGAGCTCATTAGTTCCTGTTATGATCCTTGCGTGAAAAAGATGAAGGGACTGCCAGAGTAAACCCCCTCCCATCCCCCAAACATTTCTTACTCAGGCACAACTCCGGTCATGTTGCTGGGGTTTGGACAGTTTCAGCGTTTGACAGTAAAAAATATTTCTTAATTTAAAAAAGCATGCAGTAAAAACTAGAAACATTAACACACAGTAATGTGTTTCTCTGTTGACCTGACACAATGGCACAATGGCAGAGTATGTGAAAATATTTGAACTGGGCACTCATTTCGCATGCATCTATTATAGATGGCTGAAAGTATTTAATAGTATGCACAGTACGTGTCCTACAAATCTGAATTGATATCCAGCCAATGCTCTCAGTCTTACACAGCAAAAACATGTTTTCTATGAGGCAAGAGTGCCTCCTTGTGGTTTTAAGAGAAAAACTTATAAAAAAATATTTTAGTCATGTACTAAAATTTTCCAATTTTCACACCTCTGCCGCTTCTTAAAGTCAAGAAGGAAAACCAGAGATAACTGAAAGTTTCTCCTGAACACTAAATTTCCGTTTGAGGTAAAGGTGTATTCCATGCTGGAAACATCTCTTTTCAGGATGGAATAAGCCTTTACTTGTTCCTTTGCAGCCTATGCATGCTGACACAGCTAATGTTTAGAAGCGTTAGAAAACAGAAAAACAAAAGGCAGGATGTTTTTGTTCAAAGTGATGACTTCTCAATACACCAACAGTAGTTTAGTATGGAATCTCTTAAAAATAAAGATCTACATTTTAAAAAGCTTTAATAATTCAATTATTTCTCCTTTTGACCTGTAACCTTGTTAGCACAATATAAGTTAATCTTAACTAAAGATCTTCTGGTTAATTTTGCACCGTTCGTGGTTCCCACTTCAAAATAAGATCCGTGCATTTGATTAAATTACTGAGCTTTACAACAAATGCAACAATAAACTATATCAAAAGGATGGAAGTTAATCTTCATGCTCATGAAATTTTTGTGTCAAATAACAATGATTAATGAACTCTCAGTTATGCAGGGTTCTCACCTTCTCCTCCAGCACAGTGTTCAGCATGGAGGCCAGGCTACTGAGGGTGACCTGTTTCAGGCCCTTGAGGAGGAGAACGTCAATGTACTCCATGTAGTCCTGCCAGGCAGGGGAGGCCTCACTGATCCCCAAGACAATCAGAGACTCCTGGACCAGACTCTGGATCCTGTGGCCATCACTGGAAATCTGTCTCCCAAGGCTGAGTTCCAGGAGTCTTCTCAAAACCATTTGAGATGACAAAAAAGAAGCAAAATACACACGTAAAACATTCAGAAAAAAAAAAACCAAAATGCTTGAAATGGTTTGAAAGACTGTACAGCTCCCTTCGGTTAAGTAGGTCGCAAACATGATGCTGGATGACTGAACGTTTCTCTCGCCTACAATCCTGAAAAGCACAGCAAAACCCTTTCCAGCATCCAGCTAAATCAAAGTGATCCTCAACCAGGCTGCAGAGATACTCTCTCCACAGTGGTATTAAATATCCAATGACTATGGCGATCTGTTTTCATAGCTCTTCCATTTCACTTAAAGAATTAGGAAGCAACAGTACATTATCTTTAGAGCCTGAAGGAACACAGCTCCAATGTTCCGCAGAATCGCTATACAAAGGCTGACTCACTCCTGTTGTTGCAGCAGCTCTTGTACAGAGTAAATCCTCTTTGCCTCCCTGTTGGAGAAGACGTCAAGGCACCCCCTGGACCAGGCGCTGGCCCGGCGTCCGATTTCATTGCAGTTATTTCTCACTGCGCTGAAGGCGCTATACAGCTGTGAGCACACCAGGGAGGTGGCGAGCTCTACAAAGTCAGCCGTCTCTTCTGTACTCCAGGTGTAGGAGCTCAACCCACTCCTCAGCAGCTGAAACAAATAAACATGCAAGACGTTCTTTATTCCTTAGTTCCGAAGACATAAGGCAAATAATCTAAAACCAGTGGAGGGCAAAAAAAGATTTAAAAGAACGGGAAAAATGCCAAAGAATTATTAGACCTTACACTTTTAGAAAGTTAATATTTTTCATCACAACTTGAATGCTCAGACTCATTGCTCTCACCTCCTGTGCAGCCACCAAGCTCCCTTCCAGCAGCCTTCTTTCAAACTCATTGATGGTCCTCAAGATTTCATTGTATTTACAAACCACAGCCTCCAGCCTGGTGGCCAGGGTTCGGAGTCCATGTGCATCTACGCTCCTCAGCATGGTCCTTACAGGTTCCGACAGCTACAGTTCGCACCAGACCAGAGTGACAAATATTTCCATTAGCTTTCAATGCCCATCAACGCAAATGACTTAGTTCTCCAGCTACTTACCCAGCCAAACAAAAAAATATTATGTTAATAAAACTGATGATCTATCGAGTGCACATTTTTAATTCTATTGATAATAGAAATGAACAAGATATGACCTTTGGTCAGCAGGTTAGAGCTCCGCTATTTCCAAAAGTTAAATTTTGACAAGAGCAGCGTCTGTGTCTATTGGAATGAAAGAGTTATGTGAGTATAAAGACAAATGACATGAAAGACAGAGTGGCAGAGAGAAGGAAAGCTTTTTTGCAGACATGCAACTGAATTCTGCGGTATACAGAAATCATTGAAAATAGGGCAGAGACATACTTTTATGTTAAACGGAGCCTTGTGGAGGAGTGAGGCTTCACTGAGAAGACAAATAAAGTCAGGGTCCAGATTCACCTCCATCGGCTTGAGGTTGTGTTCCAGTTCTCCATGCTGGCTGGAGACAACCTTCAAGATAATTATTTAATAAACATAAAATTTAATTTGCATCAAATCTGAATGCAAAGAACAGCCACCTGAGTCAGATAGTGTCCATGTTATTAGACAGCACGCAACAGTTTAATTTGCAAATCTTGCACAGCTAAGGTAAGGTAAACTGGCTAAACTATATTCCCCCAGATGAAACAAGACCATTAAGGAAAAATCTGATATTCTGCATTTTAATCATTCCTTTGAGTCACAATTTGTTCATTTGGATAAGAACAAAAACCTCCCTAAATATATTATAATAATTTATATTTATGCATCTTGCATTGACATAAAATCGTAATTACCAATAATGGCATCTTTGTGGCATTACTTAGGTTAGCTTCAGCAGTTGTCAGCCATGACTCCACTGCAACTCTTTCACACCTGTTGTGAAGATGGAGCAAACAAAATAATGCTTTTATTATAGTGGACTGTCCCATACAGAGAATATATATATATATCAACAGGTAGATACCTCTCAAGTTTCTCTATGACTTCAGTGTACAAATGTCTCAGTTTCCAGCCTATGTCTCCTTTCAGTGCAAGAGGGAAAACTTCCTTTAACTTCATCACTGGTTCCTGATGAGGAAATCAAAATGAGCATAGAACTACAGAGTTACTGTTACTGTGAACAGCGCTACCAATTCTGCTTTTAATGAAAAAAAAAAGATTACATCATTCAACACAGCACAGCACAGGAAAATAATACAAAGTTAAGATCTCCCAATAATAAAAGAAGGTGAAATGGAATAGTTTTAAAGGATGACATTTCCACATTAATTTATTTTAGACTCTATTATTACAGTCCTGCAACAGATTGCTTCGACAAGCTCTGTGATCTCCTATAAACTGCCTTGTTTTTCAACCAAGCCAGATAATGAAATCCCAAATAAATAAATAAACCAACAGGAGCATTAATGCACAGCAATGCCAAACTGGAATCAAATAAGCTTTAGTACATTTTTTACTTTTATGTAGTATTTTTCGTGGTTTAATAAATATTGTCATTCAACAAACAGGTGGTGATTTCTCTTATACATTTTCAGGGTTTTATCAGTTTTACAGATTTTACAGAACATATCCCAAAGAAATATTGCATCTGCTGACGGCTAACCATGACATCTCTTCACTACTTCTATGGAATGAACCTAATCTGATTTAGATTTTTTACAATGTTTATGGACAAAATAGAATGAGCACAAGTCTGTGATGTACTTACAGAGATTCTAGACTGCAGGCCTTTCACCCACAGAAGCCTATTCACAATGGGAGGGGTGTGAGCACTCATGTGTGGGGTCTGGTCTTTCATCTGATATAAAGTCTTGACTTGGTTCACCTCCTCAATAAGCATGTATAGGAGTCCCTCAGCTTGGTCTTTCAGTTGTTCCTGCGAATGTTTAATAAATTACCGGGGAAACACATCATAACATACAGCAGCAACAATGTTATCTCACCTAGAAGCCTACAGCTACAGACCAAAATCGGGTTTTCATGTCTGTGCAAATTGCTGCAACAAATACTTGTAAAGTTTAGATTTGTGTCCACAGTGATTTTTAATTTTTTTAATTCAGCAATCCTGAAATGGAAGCACAGGGCACAAAGCTGATGGCAGGCCAAGATGGGCTCTGGGTGGCTGCAAACCCTACCAGGAATTAGAGGATTTCAATGATCAATGGACATTTTTTAGCTATCACTTACAAGGTGAATTGGATTCAAAAGTCACGGGTCGTACGTTCATCATGCCCTTTCAAAGTTCTGAGTTTTTAAAAAGAGACATGACAATCAAGTGCTTAAACAAAGACTGCCAGAAATACGAAGGAATGTGACGGGGTTGATCTGAGGTTGAGCAAGAGTCTAACCTCCCTTCTGAGGTTAAGCAAGAGTCTAACCTCCCTTCTTTGGGAGATCTTACTACTTAATTTGTAAAGCAAGTGTGAGTTTTGAAGGACTCTCAGCTAGCATCCTATTTGTTACCTGGACACACTCCCTGCTGATGACCCCCTGAAACACCTCAAGCAGTCTGAGCTGAGAATTTATACTGGGACACTGCTGGAAGCAGACCTTGAGAACGCCAGCAATCTGATGCTCCAACTCCTAAACACCATGTGAATAAAAGCACATATGTTAAACCATTATTTTTTACTGGAATTACCTTAACTTTGCAATAGTTAAGGCCTGAGCCAAAATGTTTTGATAAGAAGATGCTCCAGAAGGGCAAACATCACAACATAAGAAGACAACTGATTATGAGAGGTAGTCTGCTTTTACCTTTATGGTTATCCTGAAGTCAAAGAAGGACTTCTCGAAAGCTTGGTCCTGGGAAGTGGAGAGCATGTGCATGTTCTTGCTGGTGAAGCTGGTGAAGGCTCTCCTGTAGGTCTCCTGTATGTCCTTCACCACTGCATCCAGACTGGCCGTCCCAGCTCCCCCAATCTCCGCCACCGTCTCCAGCAGCTGGAAATGATGAATTGTCTCCACAAGCTCCAAAACATCATTGCATCTAGGCATAGAAGAAAATGACGTCCTAAAAATGTCTATCATGATATTAGAATGGGATTCGAAGGTTCAGAAAGAACATGAGGTGAGCTAGGTCTAAGAGACATAGACAAGAGAGAATAAATACAATTACTGTATAATTATTGTGGCACTACACGAGAGGGGCGTGGTCGTCTCCACAAAGATGTGGACAGAATGGCGCAATTTTTGTATTTTTTCCTTTCTGTTTTCTTTCGGTTCTCGCTAACCTTACACCGGTGCTTCCGCCCCCTCAGACGGGGCGTCAACTTATACCAGTACTTGCCATGGCTCCTCCCACTGCCACATTGCAACATTAAACGGTGTACATACACAGGATATACGTTTCTTAAAATGGTTCACTATGACGTTGTTTCCTATGCTCTATGAAAATGGATAATAGCCTGTGCTTAAGGCCTTGTAAGTTAAAAAGGCATATGACTGGAAAACAAATAGAGACCTCTCCATGAATAAGTTCATGCTCTGAAAGCAAGGTGCACCATGGGACGGCCAAGGACTGCTGATCCATTCCTCGAATCCCTCCTCTCTCTCTTGGCCCGGGAACTGCCAGCCCCGCGTTGTGAACTTGGCCGACAGCGGTCCATAGAGCTTGGCACTCCACAAGGAATGGGACGGCTTCCTTGGCCTGTTTCATATAAATGAAGAAATTGGGACCCATGTCCTGGTCACACCATATTCTCCAAGAATATCTACCACTTCGCTGTCTTGATCAATTCAATTTATTAGGCCAGTCTTTAGTCTTTCTGGGTCACAGACCTTTAATCTGATCAGCACACCAAAAGGGCTGAATGACTGTATAATGTGAAAAGTAATATGTATTTAATTCAAGATGCAGATGCCAAAATAAGTGCAATGTTTTATATAGTGGTAGTTTTCTACTATTTTTTAAAAGCTTCCAGCATTGAAACGGTGAGAGACACAAAGAGATACTGAAGTAGGTGTTACTCGGCTTCATCAGAAATCATCACTAACATTTAAATCTGATGGCGCAATTGTACTTTTACAGAAAGTGCATGGTCCATACTGATAAAATCACCAGAGTCAAATTGCTCAGGTTTGAGGTGACAACTATCTTTCCAGGAGCAGAGGAAATCATCTTACTTGAATTTTCTGTTGGATAAATGGGTGGATGTAATTGAATTACTGCATGTTTGTGGACATGCAAATTGATTATACTCTTTAGAATAGTTTGAGACAAAACTGACATGTTTGCTTAGAAAATAATCTTCATCCCTGCCATTTTATTTTTAATTTCTTACATAATGGATGAGCTTACCTTTTTATTGTACAGCACCAGGATGGAGGGATTAAACAATCTGTTTCAATGTGTGAGATAAACCACAAACCTTATCTGTGTTAAAGGTATAGGATTCACCCCTTCTAAATCAGTTATAGTACAAATATTGCAACAAAGTCTTACATTTTGTGCAGGGTTTCTTCAGCCTTCTTGGTATTGATTTCATCTGCCTTAGCTTTCACATCCAGGTAACAACCCCGAAATGTAGCACACACTTTTAGGGCACCTTTCAGCTGATGAAAAGACTGAAGAAAATACTATGTTTTAGTTACGACATTTGAATGACTCTGCTTAATCATCATAACTTCAAGCACTGTATACATGAAAAAAGTGTTGTTTCATACAATTTCAATACTCAAATGTACACAAAGGACCATAGGGGGTGACTGCCTATTTGTTTAAATTTTAAACATCTGCTTTACTTACACTTGACGGGTCCTTCAGAACATCGTCTCCAATGATTCTGACTGCTATGTTCGTGATTTCAGTCGCCATTGAATTCAACAGGCTGACAAAAACTTTCGGTTGATGGTAGTATCTTCAAAACAATTGCAATCCAATTTTAGTTTCCATATCAAAAATGCACAAAAAGCATTTCTTTAAAAAAACATGAAGGTTTTAAATAATCAGTTTTGCTAACTTTGTACTTTTCACTGACCAATTGAACATCACACATCAGTACGACTTTGTGAAGTGCTTTGAAATGGTTTTTCACCAAAGTCCTGTGAAATAAAAGTCGATTGACATAAATTTTAGTGACTGTATACTGATCTTCTTTATTTACTGTGCACACACAACACCAGTACACTGGCAAGCTCTTAATACCTTGAATGAGTCCACACCAGGAGCAATGTGTGAATCAGAGGAGGAATATATTTTATTATCTCCGGTAAAGGATCAGCAGACCTCAGGAGCTCAAACCAGCGCAACAATGAACCCAGAAACTGCATGTTTTCTTCTGCTTGAGAAAGGGCCTAGATGTAGAGACAGAGACATCACAGTACTAAAAGGACAGTAAAGGTGACAGTTATTTATTATACTCTTTGCCAAATCTGCTCTTCAAAGAAAAAACAGAAGTACAGAAATATATTCAAAAGACGAATGCACAGACAGCAATTACAGCTGATATAATTCCCTACTTTAAGCTGAAATGATTCACTCAAAAACACTGATACACTACAAATGCAGCATCCTTAAAAAATGCAATTTTACTTAACCGGCAGTAACACAAAAAGTAGGTTTGACATTTGAACAGATAAATAAAGTTGTCGGAACAAACTGGTCTGACCTTATCAATGTCTTTGCACATCGTTTTCAATGCAGGGACATATGTGCTGTTAGCTTGCTCCAGGGTGGTGAGGATTTCCCTGGCTGCCTCGGAGTCGAGCTGAACATTGAGGTAGTGCAGGTTCTGTATGCGTCTCTCCCACAGTGCTTCCTCCTGACAGACACCTGCTTCTGAACCTTGATGTGCAAGCAGAGCCATGGGATCGTGCTTCAGCACCTCCTGTCACAACACAACTGGATTAAGACACAGGCTTCTCCTTATTCCATTCAGCGCCTGCCTGATTTTGGGGCATTTTCTAGCAGCTTTATCCAATTTAGGGTCATGGGGAACCCAAATCGGGACCCCTACTGGGATGAAACCCACATGAACATGGGGAAAACATACAAACTCAGATAGCAGATAGTACCCCAGCTCCAAAACTAAACCCTGGACCCCAGCACTGTCAGGCAGCAATGTTAACCACTGCACCCAGTGCCGCCTGATTCTAGAGTAATTCTAGTGCAATCCGAGTTTATTGCTTTTCACTCTTTCAGTTTATTGTTGTTTTTTCCCTGCTCTGAACCTACTGTGCTATAATCTTGATCAATCTTGCATCATTAATAAACCCTTATCCATACCTCAATGGAAAGCTTGGGCTTGGCTTTTATAAGGTATGCCCTCTAACCCAAAAGATATCTGCCCCTCGTGATTATTGCCACACGAGTAAAACATTGATTCACAAAAAATTAAAAACCTACTTTGGACTATGGAAATAGGTCAGTTTGTCACATATAAAAATAAGCTGTTTAATACTACCAACTTTCATATCTGATGACTTCTAATTTATGCAAATAAAGCAAAGAATAAAGAATGAAAATAATAGGGTGGGGGCTTACCAATATGTACCACTTCAAGAATCAACACTTAAGCATTACCTTAACCTGTTTGATCCATCCAATGATAGTAGACTCGAGCAGGTGGATGAAGGCAGCATGACTGACTGGGGACACTCTTGCCTTTGTCATCACTTTCACAGGAGGAATGGGAAGTACAACAGAGCCCTGCAGGGTGTCAGATAATATCTCAGGGGATGTGGAGAAGAAAAGCCAGCTATCAGTTCTGACTGACATGCAGCTAATGCATCCTCTGCCCTCTCTGTGCAAGATCCCTCCTGGTGACTCATGGTCTCACATTCACACAGCCATAGGGAAGGTCATCCATGAGCAGACTTTCCTTTTAATTATGTGAGCGCTAATGAAGGCTCATACTGTTCAACTAAAATGTATGGCAACATTTGTTTTCTATATTACAGTTTAACAGACTGAATGCACGACTGTGCTTGCTATAAAAGAAATTAGGTAATAACAGCAGGTTAAATGATGTAGTCAAATTAATCTAAAATGGTTCTTAGCAACATGTTAAAACAACCAATTATGTTTCCTAGATACTGTAAACTGCAGTAATATCAGTTAAAAGTAAACACAAAAACAATAGAAGCCTTCATTACTTTTGCAGGCTTCATTAACATATGATCTCTAAAACATAACTCCTGGTAAGAGAAGCTGTCTATAATGATATTGTCTATCTAGGTACAGCTAGAAAGTAAAAAAGTAGATTCCTCTGTGGATGCTTAATTTAAGAAGATCTGCAAGTTTTAAAAAATACTGCAGTGCCTAACATCCCATAAACCCTGTTCACGGTATTTCAGAAACATTTTATTTTTATACAGTATCTAAAATTAACCATGGAAATTCACAGATGGATCTTACCTTAATATGACCTCTAATCATCTCAAGCTGTCCCATGAATCTGTGCGACACGCCCAGGAGCCCAGCGGCGTTCAGATTGAGAGACCTGACCACTGAAGACTCCCCCCTGCACAGCAGAGGCATATACACCTGGTGCAGCAACAGATCCAGGTGTTTAAGGGGGTTTTTGCTGGTGTCCAATACAATTACATTGTCAGCTAAGGAGAAGAAAAACAAGCTCTTTCATAAATACAGAAGAAAGTGATTGTGCATTGTTGAGAGAGCCCACATCCATGTCCCTGGGAAACAATTGATAGACCAAAACAAATCTATTCCTTATTTCTGCTGATTTTAGTCATGGAATAAACTGAGAGATTAAATATTTTTATGGGTTTAAGACTGGGTGACTTAATTATGCTATTCAAAAATGCATTAAAGCAATACAGAATGTTTCGGACGCACCAGTTCTTAAATGAGATTTGACTGAACCTCTGCGTGTCATTCTATCAATGACCCTTCGTTTTTATTAAGATTTTGGACAGCCTCGGGCTTCAAACTAAAAGCATCAGAGTGCACGATTTCAGTTCTTACCTATATTTTCAATGGTCAGCTGTGTGGCAGTTTTGGATTTCACAAAGACAACGCATTTGCCCTGGAGAGCAGAAGGTGGGGTAGGAGTTGCTGCAAGAGGCCCTTTTGTAGATGTGCTGAACACAAACAAGCTGTGGATATCTTCATTCTTCAAGAATTCAGAGATGTTTGTCCTGTCATAGATTACAAAATAAGATAAACACAATAAAGTAAAATGATTCAGGTGGGTAGCTGCTTCAGCATGCATAGGCTGCAATGGAACAATAGATAGGTTTATTCCCTGCTGAAAGGCTCTTTTCAGCCTGGAATAAACCTATTATTTGTTCCTTAAAGTAAAATGGACTGTATCAGAAGCATACAGCACTGTCTCAAGATGGCAGCACTCTACCCATTTTGTAAGAATTTAATTTGACTGGCCATTTTCTCACAGTCTTAAACTGTTTTTTTTATGTTGGTTAGGACTATAATTCACTGCTTCCTTCTAAACTCCTTTCCATCGCAACACCTTCTTCAGTTAGCTGCTTCTGTACTTGCACAACCATTTTTTAGAAATCACTGTGGACTTAAAAACTAAATAAACACGTGAACCCGCTTCTCTCGCTGTAAGAGCTTATTTATGATAGACGTTAGATACACAATTGCGAGCTGTTAAGGAATCTTGTCAATCTTGTCCGAAGACGTTAATTACCTATATTCAGAATGGCTGAGGAGCGCTTTGATTTCCTCCGACTTCGGCTTCAGAGACGACGTAATTCTCAGCTGCAGCCAATAGATTATCTCATCCATTTCAACTTTTACAACAAACAAGAAAATCATTTATATTAATTAAAGAAGGCAAATGCATCAGACAATACAATCTGGCGGTATGTGATATTCAAAAAGTACAATTGTATTGTCTGAAGGTCCGTGTAACTGCCTTTACTTTTTACTTTGCAATAGATCAAAAGCTCGCGTCACTTACTTCCCAAATTATTTTAGCAGATTTTATCTGGGCGCTCGATGGTCGGCTTTCTCTCGTATGAATGCTAATCTGAACTCGAAATGATTTCGGAATCAGATGTGTCTTTTCTGTCCAGCTGAACACAATGGGAAAACTTGTTTGGAAGCTGCAAACATATTAAGGTGCGTAGCGTAGCAACTGACCCTAAACTGACAGCGTGGGATTTACTTGACTTGACTTCTGTTGTTGTTTTCAGAGAAGCATTTGCAGCAGAAACATGTCAACCTGTATTTTTTTATTAATGTCCTTGAAGACGTCGCCGCAACGTGATTCCTGCAGGTAATCTGTTTTATAAATGTGCAGAGCGTTGATCGGGGTTTTTTAAAGCACATTTATACACTGAAGTATAACTCCTGAAGACGCAGTCCTTGGTGGGGACATTCAAACGATAGCCAGTTCAAATAATCCTTGAAAGTAGTCGGAAGACCTTGATTTGTTAAAACATGTTCCAGACGTTTGCAGTAGTATTATGTAATTTGCTGTCATCGGAAATACAAGGAGATACCTAATAAAACAAAAGTATTAAATCCAAAACTAAGCCTAGAGCCTAGCTAGACACTTATGCAGGAGTTTGTCACGGTATCCGTAGCGTTCATTGAGAGTAGTTTACACCTCCCTGAGTGGGATAGAGTCCCAGTTTTAGCGTTAACTCGAGCAATACTGGAGTACTCCTTTGGAACACTGGGATGGCCTGGAGCAACTAATAGTGTCTCACTCACTCATTATAGCATTGTATACTGCAATGATATTGCGACCTTTCAGATAGAAGCCCATAGCCCTTAACCTATTAATAACATTATTACTATTATTACTAATGATAATAATAATACCTTACACTTATATAGCACTTTTCTGGACACTCCACTCAAAGAGCTGTACAAGTAATGGATAATCCCACTCTCACCATCAATGTGTAACCCCCACCTGGATGATGCGACAGCAGTCATAGTGTGCCAGTACATTCCCCACTAACCAGCTATCAGTTTGAATCACAGAGTGATTCATAGAACCAATTCATAGATGGGGATTATTAGGAGGTCATAATTAGTAAAGCCCTGGAGCAAATTTGGCCACCCCTACCCCTAATTCTCGGTTATAGGTAAAATAATTGGTTCCTGTTCTAGCACACTTCCAGCTGGTGCTAGACTATTATCAGTGCAACATATTGCAAAATGTCCCTGAATCTTCATTTAAGTACTGTGCTTCCTTCTGTCAACATTTTTGTGAGCATGCATTTTGTATTTTTGCCCACTGGGAAACAGCTAGGAAGATGTTAAACAATATTTCCCGATATCAGTTTTAATTATCGCTGTTGCCAAGATCACTAATAAATGCAAAGACAAAACGCAGACATGTATTGTTTGATACAAGCGTGTACATATTCATTCTCACATATTGTACGTACTGTATATACATACAGTAAAAGCACGTACACCGAAGGAGGCTCAAAGTAATTTATGAATGTTTATTTTTTTTGCAGCAGCTAATAAGAATCAATGCATTTTATACACACATTTGTCTTAGTCAACAAAGAGACAAATGACTGGTAAGGACATAATACGGAGCCCTTTGAGTAAATGAAGAGGAATAAATGTTGAGTTTCTGACTTTTTTAAAAATCATGATCATCTAACAAAGGTGAATCCCTTTCTTCCGGATTTCAGTCCCGCCCGATGTCATGGGTGATCTTAGGCCGGTCGATGCGGTACACGAACTCGGCAGGCAGGAAGTAGCCCAGATACTCCACTGTGTCTGGGGTGGTGTCAGTGTAGTAGTGCCCTCCTTCTCCATGATGACTAAAGCAGTGGGTGTGTTCGAGTCGCAGGTCCAGTCCCTGCAGAGATGGGAGAAAGAGTCTGAATTTAGGGGGCGTGAACATGGGAGGCACAAGTCTGTCTGTTCTTGGCCAGCGATGTAGTAGGGAGACCAGTTAGCTTCCTTGTGGTTACGATTTAGAGCAGCCAAACAATGTGACAACACCTTGGAGGATGCAGAGCACTCAAAGAAAATTCTCATGAACACAGCAATCTTCACACAGGCAGGCACCCAAGATAGAAATCAAATGTTGAGCTTCTCTTTGATTGGTTTTGTCTTAAAATAATATATAAAAATATATATTTTTTTTCCAAATACACCTTTTCAGGTGGACTCTAAATAGAGCAAGAATGCTATATCAGAATACAGATATTTGCTGTGTAATGTTTGCAGTGACAATTCTTTAGTGAGGTCTTATATGCCTACAGAAAAAAACTGTATTGCAAAATAGATGTGGTCAAGGTCTACATACATATACTGCAAATGCACATTTGCATTAAGCATTCTGCTGCTTCTACTTTCCTAAAGCTCAGCTAATTAAAATGCTACTAACTTTTCACATTTTTAGAAACCTCATGGACAGGTTTTACTCACGGGATCCTGGGACACGAGCACCGACTGGCAGATGAGCGGGGCGCTCATTTCAAAATGTTTCAGCCACTTGTTCACTTCCTCGCCCGTGCGGAGAGGGCACGCGGAGAATTCTCGGGGCTGCAAGCATCAAGCAGGACAGAAAATCACAGCCAGCCTGCGCTGTTGGTGGGCTGCTCCTTTTATTTCCACAAACAGAAAAGCACTCATTCCGTGTCGGCACTCTGAACTTCTTGACAAGCGCTCGTGGGTGAAATTGTTTAATCAGCAGCGCTGCAAGCTGCAGCAGAATGTTTGAACTGCAGGGAAAAAAAATCTATCTTTTAAGAATGATTTTGGAATAGAGGAAACACACTGTTAGCATCACAAAACTGCGCAAAACATTCTGACGTGAAGGCAAAGCTCAGTTTCATAAAATGAGAAATTCTAGATGGAATGGCTAACTGGAATTTTTACCATAACATGAGTCTTGGCTTTCCCTTTCTGAATCACAAAGGTTCCTCCCATTGCAATATATTTGTCATTGTAATGTATCTCTAGTGTCTTCCTCATACTGGTCACGAGACTGATCGCTCCAGTTCTCCTGCTGGCTTTTACTTCTATAACCTGTTAAAAAAAACACATGGTTTAAAGATTGCCAAAGCTGTTCATTAATGATTGTCGGGAGTAACTCATGTTTAGTTTCTGCTACAGAAAACAAAAAGGATCTTTGACCGTGAACTCATCCTCATCTGCAATAAATGTGGAAAATTCTATCCTTCTTAACCACGAAAATCCTTATGCAAGAGCGATGTGAATTATGCCTGACAGTAAATATCAGGCAAGCAATTTTCATCTTGGTCCTCTCTCTTCCAGAAATATCTTATTAAATATACACACATGTATCAGTGACAACTCTGAGTCTGTCCCATACAATGCTGTTTTCATCCTTATTTCTTCTCATTTCTACCTCACCCCACAGAATCTGTCACTTAAGCTAATGGAACTCCTACTTTCTTACCCTAACACTGCTCGTAGATTCAATGGGATTCTGTATTGCATGATCACATGCCCATGACACAAAACTAAAATAGAAGATCAAATTCAAAGTGTTAAGTGGGCAGTGCAAAGCTCAGGTCCCACTTGTATTAAGACAGAATAGCATTGCTTACAATTAGGTGCCTAACCACTAACCAATAAACAGTGGTCATTGCATCGTATTGAGAACAACATCTGCCATGCTCCTTAGCACCTCATAGAGACTTCAACAGTTCTTACCTTTCCAGATTTCCCTTCGCATGCGTAAAGATTAGCAAGGAGTCCAAAACCAAAATCTTTGAACTTATCACTGTATTTCTCCAGCAGGCATTTGTCATCAACCGGATTGATAGATGCATAGTAGCTCCCGTTCACTGCTGACATCCCATCATTTTCTGTTCGAACCAGAGGTATCAGCTGGAAGAGGAGACAGAACCTTAGAATACAGAATTGTGGGACATTGCAGAACGGCTTTGCAGAATTCATAGCTACATCTCACCATCAAATTCTCCACTTAATAGTGCTTTATAAAATGTGTTGTTATTGTTTTATCTGACTAATAGGTTTCTTTGTGAGTAGATTTCTCTAGTAAGTAAATTTCATCTTTTGCAAAAACAAACTGAACCAAATCCCCCACCTTCTTATTTGTTTGGGTACATTACTCTAACGAAACAGTGCAGCTGCTTTATTTCCAGATTATTTAAAGGCTTGGTGCCTCTTTATCATATGTTCTTTTGTTCCTTCAAGGGATTCTCATGTGATTATAAAATGGGGTTTTAAATTAGTTTTAAATTAGAGCTACAGAACAGGACCACTCAACCTGTGGCCTTTTCATTTCCCTGGTTTGACAGAATTTGGCTTCAGCCAGAACCGAACGTATCAGATTGCGAATCAACCAGACTGCAGTAACAGCTTGGGTGCCGGTTGCAGTAGAATTCTGTAATGGAGTGGAACGGAAGTAGCACAGCTCTAGAATCATGTCAACAAACATTACCTCAGCGTTCATTCCTACACTTTTAGATGAAGTGGCCCCTGCCCCAAGAATGAACGCTCCAGGTAGTTCTACTTCCTTAGCAACAGTGTCCATGTCATAGACCTAGGAGAGAAAGAAAGCCTACAATTCACTCCGCGTACAGTCTTTCCTGAACTACACAAAACTGAAGCGCCCTGGTCTCAAAACACAACTCACCAGCATGGGCAATAATCTTACACAATATCTGTTTTTAGGCAATGAGTCAGCAGGGTTGGCTTAATTGAACCTTTTGTACTGCAGATGAAAACAGCATTCTTGAAACTTCTTCCCATCATAAAAGAGAGAACAAGCCTGCCACTTTGCATTGGTTTTGATATCTGAAGCAATGCACTTGCCATATAGGATTCCTTTCGTAGATGAATGAAGCACCCTGCCGGTATTACAGATATTTTAGACTCTAACCTTATCCAGCTGTGCCACGGGAATCAGATATGGCACACCTCCTACATCCGTTATCCGAGGTTTACCACAAATTCCTGTCGGGGAGAACATACCAGACTCTGAATGTTTAATTTTTTATTGATTTTTGCATTCAAGAAGAAGAAATAAGATTAAAAGCATCCGAAGTCTTTCAGTAACAAAGCATTTCTTGTCTCACATTGCTTCAGGTGTTAAACTAACTAAACAATAAGGAGCTTAATCCCAGCAAACTAACTGGAGAGATTATTGACTTACCCTTGGCTGGAAACCTAAATGGATCCTGGGAAAGATCTGGACATTCAACCACAGAAACGTGCACATCAGCGAAGTTTTCCTTCAGTCCATTCTGCAACACTGAAAACCCCAAAATATGGTACAATATTCTGTCAGCTCAATTTGCAAAGAAAACAAGACAAGCTTATGCATTGTTCAGATATACCGCTAGATAAAAGCTAAAAAGGAATAATTATGCAACTGAAGTAGTAGAATACGCACAATATGCAATCTAGTTGTTATGATGATATGAAATGGTTCCTTAACGAGGAACACTGAAAGTTTGAATAGGAGCTGCATACCTTCAGATAATTCCTCTAGTTTTGGGACAAAGAGCTCAAACTTTTCGGTCATTTTGAGCTCAGCCGTTCTTCTTGCTAAATCAGCAGAGGTTGAAGTCCTGAACTAGGGATGGCCAACTGTAAATTGTGATTGGTTGTCTTTTTCCCTTATTTTGACTCCGAGTACTCTTTCTTTAATATCCAGCAGGTGGCGCAAAACACTAAGAAAATAATTTTACAGGCTGCGTCTCATTGATACGCATTTGCTGAGACCAATCACTTTTCACAGAAAGAAACAGCTGTCTCGGGTTTGTATGTAGTTTTGCACCCGCTATAAACTCGGTTACATTATAACAATATTCGTTTGCATACGCTTTTGAATTCGTTCGATTGAAATAACCTGCATACAACAATGAGTGGAATTCTCATTCAAAAAAGACTGTATTAAAACTAATAGTGTTATCTCTTTAAGATTTGTATATTAAGTTACATTATCAGTTCCTTTTCGAGCAGGTTTTAACAAAGTCAAAATAACCTGGGCGTTGTAAAGCAACTCGGTTTATGTTAGCTCCAGATGAGTTTAGTTTGTAAAATAATTATTTTAAATCAGAACTCGGATCTTAAAAACCACGCATGCTTTGGAGGAAACGGATTGCTAATGGAAAATGTTGCAATATCACCTGATATTCAAACTCATGAAAGGTATTGTCAAAATGAAATTAGAGGACAGATGCAGAGTCAACACTGGTGAAATACGAACGAAACATGATACACAGATGGAAATTAAAAGTCCATTAAAGAGCATGAGGCATTTCTTTTCATACTGGAAGAAACACCGCACGCATAGTAACCCGTCAAACGACTGGATGAGATTTTGGTATCAAAACGTAAGTCAAAAGAAAGAACATGGGCCGAATGGAATCTTTCAGCGATATTTATGTTCTTTTGAAGTATGTCTTTGGTTGACTTATTTAATTTAAACACGTTTCAGTTCATTACATATTGATTGGTGCATGTCTTAATTTTCTTCTAGTTCAATGTGCAAAACAAGCTTTTAATAATGCGTTTTGGTTTCTTGAAACTGTTATCTACATGCAAGTATATGTACTGAAACTTAATATGAAAACCCGAACCAGAGAGAAGACCTACTTTGTATTGTTACACTTGAGTCAGTCACCGATAGATGGAGTTGAACTCATGAGAAGTGTTTTTGTGCTTGCAGAATGAAAGTCTGAACTCATAGTTTGTGTATGGTTGTCCATCAGACGATATCATACAATCCCTCGGTTGCGTTCGAGATAACTTTCTTAGTAACTTAATAACTCCAAGTTTCTTCTGATTCAAGTTTCTGATGCTGTACAGTGTGCATTAGTGTGATAATTAAAACGCAACTCCAACAGGCTAATAAAAGTCCCAAGTTAAACTTTTTTATATATCAGCAAATAAACACAACGGATCTCCAAAAATGAAGCATTTTGCAACTTTCCAATATTAATTTTTTTCCGCCAGGTTTGAGTGTCTAATATTTTGGATGTGACCATGAGTACTCATTGTACCATCTGTTGTGTCAATGGTAGAATGAATACTGAAATACTATAATAGTTGCATTGCAGTGCAAATGTTTCTACATGTTATTTCACCCATCTTTGGATTTTTCACCCGGTAGTGTGATTGGGTAGTTTCTCAACTTAATTCATGTTTTACTATGAGATAAATTATGTTCATTGACAATTATTTTGAAATCTACGTTAAACTCCTGCTTTGTCAAAAATGTAACTGATTGTCCTTGTAAGTACAATGTGTGACTGTATTGTATACCTGGAAATGAGTCTGTCATTGTACCTAGCTCACATGCACTTTGTAGCACAACTATATTAATAGCGGGCATTCCACACCTCCTAGGCAGGTGGCGCTAGCAGATAAAATGAGCAGTAGCTCTGCTATAGTAACATATTGTCAACCATAGCTCTTCTGTTTTGAATTCTCAGATGGCCCCATGGTCGAGTCGATTTGCAGAGATTATTTCTCTTTCAGCAGCGATTACAGAAACGGTTCGCTGAAACTCTCCTAAATTCCATCATGCTCATCGTGATAAACCGAGTCAAGGTACAATAATATGCGTGCATATGCATATGTAGCGCCAGGTGTCGAAGATTCACGTGTGTTAATATAGTGCTTCTGTCTTGCTTCAGTGCTTTTAAAGTTTTTTTTCACCCTGCGTAAACACAGTGGTGCATGTTTTACTGTCTGCTGTGGGTAAATAGAGTTTTCCTGAAAGTCTGAAGTACGTTTAGTTGAAACTGCTGTTTCGTGGGGGGTATAGGTTTTCCAAAATAAAGTTCAGGCTTGCTATCATAATAGACAGGTAGGGGGGTAGGTTCCTAGTGTGAAGCGCTTTATCCAAGTTTATTATCATTCCCAGAACGGCACACTTACATCATAATGCGTAGATATTTTAAGAAGCATTAATACCCTTTTCCGGTCCAGAAATTCTCGTTTTTTAATCGGGTTATACGGTAGAGTAATGTACATACAGACTGCATGTGCATTTTGTCAAGTTCTGTTTTGTTTCATTTTCAGGGACAACTTCCTAACGCGGCATAACCCCCCCAGAAAAATGGGCTCCGTGCTTTTTTTTCAGACCAGAAGGAATTGAAGGGCGTTAGGAAATGTAAGGGGATTGTAAGAACACCTCTATGTAGCGCGACACCGCCCGTCAGACATGGCCGCTTCTGACAGCGACGTGACCTATGTGTCGGACATGGAGAATCCCGCAGAGCACTCCCAGGATGGCACTGTGCCTGAGACGGAAGAGATCGTTATGGACACTCAGCCAGAGCTTGGAGCCGCCTCGGGCATGATGCCAAGTCACACCAGAGACAATGAAGTGGCAGACTCCACAGCATGTGTCACGAGTGCCCCTCAGAAATCATCTGCAGT